ATTTATATTGACTATTGTTAAAAGTTTTTAACAGTAATATACTAGCATTCCAATTCTTCATTAAAAATGAACTTAAAAATTTGACTAAATTGTTTAGTGTATATAATTTTTCACCAAATTTAGTCAAAAAAACTTTATAAAATATTACTAAAATATTTACGGGTCACAACATTTTACCGACGTCCTGTTACACAATTCAATGATGAAATACAATGTTTAAACAATATACTATTACTTAGTAAAATTAGAACCGTAAGATTGTAAATTTTAAAATATTTATATATACCTTAAAAACAAAGACCCGCCCAGTCGGGCGGGTTATGATCTAGTTTTTATTATAAGTAAAGGGGATATATGACGAATAGTTGAGAATTGCTTTGAAGCAAAATGAAAGAAGGAAACATACGGCTTGCTTTGAAGAGTTGGCTAACGCCAAGTCATGACGGCCTCACTAACCCATTTCCCAACTTGATTCTATGGTTGGAACTTTGGATTATCCTTTCCTTCTTCCTTCTTTTCATCATATATATCATCTCTTACATTGGTTATTTATAAATAAAAAGATCAGTTGGTATATTATTAATCTGCAGATTATAGTTTTTATTAATTATTCAGATCTTAATTATAAACAATGCAAACTTTCAATTGTAATACAGGAGAAACCTCATTAGTACATTTCTGTTGAAACTTGAAACTAGACCATGAATATACCATTTTTGAAATAGGCTTTGAAGCGTTCAACTTTTACCCGTAGGCCCAAATTCACATCTCTATCTGTTTTTATGTCTCCACAGTCCACACACAAAGTTACAATGATTTTACATTGAAATTTTGATATTGACAATGTACGGTGAAATTTTGATAGATTTATGACACGGTACATCACACTATATGAATATGATATAACCATATACTTGTACATAAGCCAAAAAACCAAGCTTACACTACTGAGTAATTGCAGACTTGCAGTATAATGTTGAAGTACTGAAACATTTTGGTGGGAAGATGCTCCCATGTCGATACATGGCTTTAAGCCGTTACGAGGCCTATTTCATTATTGTCTCCACAAAAACTGTCACATATAGAAGAAAACGGATCACTTTGAAAGGGCTAGATGATAACATTTTCATGTGTTAAACAAACAATTTCCACTCATTAATCAGCATGATTTTTGTATCATTACTTTTATCATAACAAAATATACATAGACCGAATTTAGCAAAAAAATATACATAGACCGGCTAACATGAATAGTTGTCGCCGATGTCTTTTTTCTCAAGTCTATAATCTGTTAAAATAGATTATTATTATTGTGGAATATCTACTCACACTATGATCATGATGTATATATATTTTACTTCTATATAATGCTAACTTAAAAAGGGTTAAAAGATTGGCTATAAGATTAATTAGGGTTGGTACATTTATGAGTGATGGAGAAGAGATAGATATGGATACCGTTCTATTATATTTGTTGCTTAGAGGAAGAAACAAAAGCATGTGAGAAGAGAAAGCTCCTTTACCACCTCAAATATGGCTAAGTGTCCCCAATAAAAATCCTATTCATAAATTCACACATACAACAAAGTTCCATGACCTAACCAACAATTCAATAGAGCCCACCTCTGAGAAACAAAGATGCAATACTTAAAATAGGAACAGTTCTCTTAATACGTCTAATTACATTTTTGTGAGTACACAAGTCAGCATCACCAATTTCAAACCAAATTAGCCGTCTTTAATGCGAGAAATCATAATTTAAAAGAGAACTATAATGTAAACTGCATTTTCTTCTTTTACAAACCTATATAAAGCTTAAACATAAAAACATGGCAAAAGCCATCAATCATATTCAGAAATTCAAACTTATGCATAAAGATGTAGTTGGATATGTACACACATGGGTGAAGGTACAAGTTTGTATATACTTTGTATGCTACAGCAATGTAGAAAAGACAAGATGCTGATTTTTTTTTATGAAAGGACCACCTTCAAATTTTATTGTTTATGGGGTTTATTTAATTAAACAGATACATATAGACACATGAATCTATATAGATATGTCATCCCCCACAAGTTATGTGACATTCTTTTCAATTCTCTGTTCTTTCCCCTCTTCACCGCTGCTCACACTAACAGCCCTTTCATAGTTAGTTAAGCTTTTCTCAATAAACCAATCTAATCAATGTCTAAAAAACTTACAGCATATGTTACACGTTCTTTTGATATTCACATTAAAAATAAAATTATCTGACGGCTCGCGGTCAATTTCTACTTGTGTATAATATTCGAAGTTTGTCAAACTTGGGAGACGGATCTTTAATGCATGTGTTTGATCAAAACACCAAAAACAAAGAAACAAATCGATCATAGATTCATATATAATGTTGATATAGTTAACTGATTATGCATGTTAACTGCTTATGCATCTACGATGATCTAGACATAGTAATATGTGTTTGATCAAATCAAAAACAAAGAAAAAAAAAAAGAGTCTTGCTGAGAAAGTAATGCCAGTAAAAGTCTGTAATTTTCAAAACTATAAATTTATTTTTATTTTTTAAAAAAGGGAAAATATTGTAAAATTAGCTTATACATTGATTCCACTATTTATGATGAAAAGCAAGTTATTTCTTTTATTTAAAGTCAATTACCCTTTTATTGTTGGCCAATGTCTATTTTTCAAAATCATTTCATACAAACTTTTTCTTCATTTTAGATTTCTTTTCTTAGCAATATAACACTTCTATTTTAATTAATATTAATTATATGATTTTCATTTTTTTTTTGATAACTCATGAGTAATTCTCAATTCTATAGATACTCAAATTAATTTTGTGAGGACACGTGATCCATGGATAGACTCGTGCACCAGGTTTACAAATGGACCAAAAACAAGAACTCATATCCGTGTGGAGTGTCCATAAATAATCGTGCAATAGTTCCTTCCAGCATGGTTCGAACTCACAACTTATGTCTAGGAAGAATATTGTTCTTACTATTGGGTCACAATATTTGATTTATTCAAAAATGTTCAAAATTAAATGGTTTAGGTACAAAATACTTAAATCGAAATGTTTCACAAAACTATATATGAATATTATTTGGAAATACTCATATCTATAACTTGGTTATATGAACAATTCAATTCAAGTATTTTGTATCTAAATCATCTAATTTTATAGAATATATTCAAAAATCTAAAAGTAACTATTAGATTTAAATTTTTATTTTAGTCTTTTGATATTTATATTATTACAAATGTTACTATAAATAATATTTTAAGATATATGTTTATATTTCAGATATTTTTGAATATTCAGTTTTTGGTTTAAGTCAAATTTGATATCAGTTCTTCATATACAATTTATGATCTGTTTGAATGTTTGCGCTGAATCCATTTAAATTTAGTATTTTTTAATTTGAGTCCATTTTGAATCAGTTTTTTTTTTGTCAACTGCCCATTAAACTAGATTAAGTGGTGGTCAGTTAAACCGATTCTCCAAGAATCATCTTCGTCTGACCGGGTCTGATCTATATGGAAAAATATATATCCTCTAATACTTGCTTCTTTTGATAGTACGTCCGCTCGACCCCTTCTACTTCAGGAAATATGAGACAAGTTCACGTTCTCCAAATCTTCATGTAATCTCTGGAGCACTTAGATCTTTGTGTTGAAAGTCCTATCCATTAAATCCGAATAGTGCGTCTCAAACCGTAGTAAAATTATCTTTCTGTCTCTCTTACATGCAACATGCAGATATTTTACTCAGTCCTAATCACTAGTCTCAGAATTGCCGATGAAACTAAAATGGTCATAACTCAGAATACAAGAGTAAAGAAAGAAAAGATCCGAAGAACCAAACCAAAGGCCTTAAAAGGTTCTATACTTCTTTAATTCTTTTCAATTTTGAATGTAAGATGAACAGAGAACGTTCCTCGTTATACGTGTAGCACAAAAAAAAAAAAAAAAACATAGTTCAATTTCATATGCTAAATGTACAATATTCTTCCAACGGTCGAAAAAGGTAAAGCATAGTTTATTTATTAAAAAAAAAAACGTTACAAAAACTTTATTTATAATTCTTTCTCATCTTCTTCATAAACCAAAGGCCCAAACTTTAAATCATCAGTCATCACTATCACTCTCTCTCTCTCTCTATAGAACTGCACGGACAACGACATGCTTTTATTAATTTCCATGCAAATCTTCTCCTTAACATTTTGAAGCTTCACATTTTTTTTCTAATCAATGGTAGCTGGTAAGGTCCGTGTAACCATGGGGTTTCACAAATCTCCTTCAACTAAACCGAAAGACACTCCCCCTCCACCTCCTCCACCACTTAAACCACCTCCCGGTCCATCTGGTAAACCGTCAAATCCCGGTTCTAATCAGAAACCAGGTTTCACCCGCTCATTCGGCGTTTACTTCCCACGCGCTTCCGCTCAAGTACACAACGCCTCCTCTCGCTCCGACCAAAACGCAGTCGTTTCGGAGCTCCGTCGTCAGGTGGAGGAGCTCCGCGAGAGAGAAGCTCTTCTGAAGACTGAAGTCCTCGAGCTCAAGCTCCTCAGAGAATCCGTCTCCGTCATCCCTCTCCTCGAGTCCCGGATCGTCGAGAAGAACGGCGAAATCGAGGAATTTAGAAGAGAGACGGAGAGATTAGCGGAGGAGAACGAGAGACTACGGCGAGAGATCGAGAGGAGCGAGAAGGAGATGGAGGAGCTTCGGAAAGTAGTGTCGAGTGAAGAACACGCGCTCTCTGGGTCTCAGAGGTTTCAGGGTTTAATGGACGCGTCGGCGAAATCGAGTTTGATCAGGAGCTTGAAACGGGTCGGGTCGATTAAAAACGTACCCGACCCGGTTCCGAACCAAGAGAGCAGCAAGAAAGAGGAGATCGAGTGTCATTTAATGAGTAACTCAGAGGAACTTAATGAGTCATCATCACTCTCAGCCGTTAGATCTAGGGTTCCTAGAGTCCCTAAACCACCGCCCAAACGGTCTTTTTCATCTAACGGCTCAGGTGATTCCACAGAGAATCAGCCACGGCAGAGAACCAATCCTCCACCTCCTCCGCCTCCACCTCCACCACCGTCGACACTTTTTCAACGACCTCCTCCTCCGTCTGTCTCCAAAGCTCCACCTCCGCCTCCACCACCGCCTCCGCCGAAGAGTTTAAACATAGCGTCGGCGAAAGTGAGAAGAGTACCTGAAGTAGTGGAGTTTTATCACTCGTTGATGCGGAGAGACTCCACTAACTCGAGAAGAGATTCCACCGGCGGTGGCAACGCCGCCGCGGAGGCGGTACTCGCTAGCTCCAATGCTAGAGACATGATCGGAGAAATCGAAAACCGATCGGTTTATCTCCTAGCGGTAAGACCTTAGCTCAATCAATTTCGGTTTAGCTTCTATTTCTGTCTTGAGTCAGTGTCAGTGAGGGTTAACCGGTCGTACCACTTATTCATGATCAATTACCGGTTTGATTTAAGTGTGAACCGAACATTTGCAGATAAAAACCGACGTAGAAACGCAAGGAGACTTCATAAGGTTTCTGATAAAGGAAGTCGAAAACGCAGCGTTTTCCGACATAGAAGACGTGGTGCCTTTCGTGAAATGGCTCGACGACGAGCTCTCTTACTTAGTCGACGAGAGAGCAGTGTTGAAACACTTCGAATGGCCGGAGCAAAAAGCAGACGCGTTGCGTGAAGCAGCGTTTTGTTATTTCGATCTGAAGAAACTCATTTCGGAAGCTTCTCGTTTCCGGGAAGATCCTCGCCAATCTTCAGGCTCTGCTCTTAAGAAAATGCAAGCTTTGTTCGAAAAGTAAAAATAAAAATCTCATCTTTTTTTTTTTTAATTTGTGTTCAAGACTAAAGAGAAGTAATCAGATTTTTTTTTGTGGGGGTTTTGAAGGTTAGAGCATGGTGTTTATAGTCTGTCGAGGATGAAGGAATCAGCTGCGACAAAGTTCAAGACTTTCCAGATTCCGGTTGATTGGATGCTAGAAACCGGTATTACTGGTCAGGTTAGCAAAGCTTCTACACTAAACTCTTGTTTTCTTTTTGTTTAATTGTCTGATTACAAATCGGTAATGGGTAATAATCTAGTTACTTATTTCCTGTCTTTAGCTATTTTATTGCATTTTGATTGGAGTAGTGTGATGAATGAAGAAGATAATAGAAACAATAAGAACAACAATTCTCATGGTCCCCATTTTTTTCTGATTAAAAGTGAATTGTTACTGTCACAGGCAGGACAAATGTAAGAAGATTGGTTTGATACTGTCTTTGCTCTATTATTGTGTTTGTTGTCTTTGCGTGTTTACATGGTGAAAGTATTATGTAAACTACTACATGACAAGGTAAATTTAAAACTTGAATATAGTGCTTTACTTTAATGTATTTGGGGGTTTCCTATGTGCACGCCTGTGAATTTCAAGATTTCCTTCTTGTCTGCTTCCTTTTTTTTGTTTGCCTTGGGATTCTTTGAGTTTTTATTATACAAATAAATGTAACAGAGGAACGAGAAGAGTTTGCATGGCATTAAAATAGGAATAGATACACAGATCAATAGAGAATGGAATCAGCTTCTCTCATGACCTTGTTAGTGTGTTTAAATTAGATTTTCTGCAACTTAAATTAGTTATGATGCAGATAGGAACTTGGTAAATGGTTAGATATGGAAGTTTGTATTTAAGTGTGTAGCGTTTATAAATGTGATTTTCAGATTAAATTGGCGTCCGTGAAACTAGCAATGAAGTATATGAAGAGAGTATCTGCAGAGCTCGAAGCCACTGGAGGCGGTGGCCCTGAAGAGGAAGAGCTTATCGTTCAAGGCGTCAGATTCGCTTTCCGTGTTCATCAGGTAAAATCAAAAGACCTTGATCATCTTCTGTTTGGTTCTTTTACAACATTTGTTTGTCAAAACTCTTACAAATCTGTTTTTTTTGTTTGTATGTGTTCAGTTCGCAGGAGGATTTGATGCAGAGACAATGAGGGCATTCGAAGAGCTAAGAGATAAAGCGAGATCATGTCATATTCAATGTCAAAGCCAAACACATCAACACAAGCTTGTTTTTCGCTCTACCCTTAGTTGAAGCAACCTTAGCTTCGTATTATATATATCCACACCTCATTGGTAATTTATCTTCGTTTTCTCTATTAAATTTGTTATTTTTTTCTTCTTTCCAAAGACAGATAAATCATCATGTGAATATACGAAACTCAAATCTTGCTGAAAACAAAGGATCATTATTCAATCGGAAACCATCTTTGTCATATGCACTGATCATAAAAGAAAGCTTCACAAAAATGTCAAAGGTCTAGAAAAACAAAAGACAGAAATAGCTGATTCCATTATCCTACAAACCCACCAAACATAAAACTTCCTCATTACAGAACCACCCAAGCGTCACTGTCGGATCCTGCATCGTCGAGTTCCAAATCCTCAACACCTTTTGCGAGTTCCATCTGAAAAAAAGCAACAGTATTGCAAGTAAGAAATCTTGAATGATAAGAAAAACATGACAATCCGTTATGAGAAACTAGAATACACACCATTTGAATCGCTCCTGCTCTCTCAGTTTTAGGCATAACTTCAACATCGTCCACAACCACGTATTCTTCATCAGTCAGCGAACCCGCAGATGCTGCAAGGAATCATCAAAGACATTACAGATCCATAAACTGAACTTCACTAACAAATACGAGACAAAAAGAACAGATTGGTTACCAGTTTCAGATAAACTAGTTTTCTCCAAAGAGATTCTAACACCCTTCACAGATGTGTCCTCGTCATCACTCTCAGAATCGAACCCATCTATAAGAAAGTTATAAACGACATATTACTACAAGAGCTTAAGGTTAATAATAAGAGTGAGTTAGATTAGTACCCTCGAGAGAAGAATATGCAATGAAATCGTTATAGAGTGCGTAGGTGTCGTAAACTGGCTGCTTCTTAAAAGGTCGGATCAAATAAGGTAAAGGAACTCCTGCAAAATATCAATCAAGACACACGACACATCTCCGGATCAGAAACTCAAAAGAACATGGAAACAGGAAGAAACCAAAAGGAGAACACAATCACTGAATTGTATCAAGGAGAAACAAGCTTACCACTGAATTTCCTCTTACGAGATTCCATGGAGTCGAAAGAAGTCGCATGAACTGGTGCTAGTGTTGCCATGTCCTGTGCAAGAATCAAGGTATAGTTGTTAGATTCTTTAAAAAAAAAGGCTATTGTGAAATAACGTTTATGAAAGACTTATAAACAGAGAGATATAAGCCAAAATCAAAGAAACCCTAACAAAAAAAATTGAAACTTTTTTATGTTGATTGTGTAAGAACCCTAAAAAAGATCATGAAGCAGAAAAGTTATCATCTTTGGATACCCAATCGCAGAAAACCTTCGTAAATAAAAAAAAGTAAAGATCGTAAACTTTAGAGGAAAATTCCTCCGCAAGCAAAATAATACGAACCCTAGTTTCCGAAAACTACAACCCTCGAAAGTATCAAACTAATCTGTTTCTAATAACCTAAAAGTTTTCAAAGAGAAGAGCAACGAAAGAGAAAAAAGTTTAAAAAACAGAAGAATCATGTGATTACCTTGAAGGATTAAGGGGAAACTGATTGATCAGAAATCTGGAAACTCAAAGAAGCAGAGAGAGATTCTTCGCTACGGATTAGCGTTGTTGTAAACAAATCTTTCTTGCAATCTCTATCTATATATATAGGGTTTTTTTTCCTTAATTCTATTGTTTACCTTAACTAGGTTAAATTAATTATTAATCACTTTATCAGCTTGTATTTCAATTAATTACGGTTTACCTCGATACCCAACGGTTTTCGCGAAAATATAACTTAAAAACCGGTTCGGTTAACCCTTCCTTAATATTATTTGTTCCGCAAAGAAAAAAAAAGCACTCTCCATCTTGTCATTGGTAAGTAAAATTAGGGTTCTCTTCCCTCCACCGCCTTCCTCGCCGGAAAATCGTCTCCCGCTTCGTCTTCCAGGTACTGTTTAAATCCTTTAACACTTTCTTCTTCTTACCTGGTCTCTGTAGCTTTAAAAGTAGTTAGCTTTGTCACTTATGTCTGAAATTAAGACATGGGTTGCTTCTAGATTTGGGGATAACTTGATTACTTATGTTTTTTATTTTTAATCTCCAGTTTCTTGAATGAGAAAAAACTAAAAGGATTATTTTTTTTTGTGTTTTGGTTTTATAAAGATGGATACTTCAAGTCCAGCTGCTTTTGTGAACGGAGATTTGTTGAGACGGTACATTGGTCAGAAAGTGAGAGCAGTGGTTCAAGTGATCCGGTCTGATATTGGATCTGTGGTTGGGAAAACGACTGATGATCAGCAGATTGTGGTTAAAGGCTCTCCTCCTCCTTCTCTAACCACTTACCTCGAGGTTATTGGAATCGCTGAGAGTGATAACACTATTCGAGCTGATGTTTGGACCAACTTTGGTGACAATTTCGGTATTAGAAGATTCTTCCTTTAAGCTCTGATTTGAGTCTTTGGGTATGATTTTGGTGAATTCTTGATTGAGTTTGGCTTCTTGGTTTGGTTGCAGATGCAGGGAACTATAATGAGCTGTGTAAGCTTGCAAATGGAGAGTTTAGACACATGTTCATCTAAACTTACATGATGAATTGTCAGGAAGCTCTTCTTGTTTGGTGTTAGTTTCACGCTATTTGATCTTATTATGATCTTCGGTTTTTCTGTATGGAATGTTGGAAACTAATGTTTCATGTTAGATTCAGTGACTGCTATGTTAATCTTACTTTTGGAGTCAATATTTTTTCTTTCTTAGTTTTCTGTTCTCTTTGGCTTGCTTTTGATCCCATCACGTTTAGGCCTTAGATTGTAACATAACATTCCTGTGTTGTAGATAGGTCTAGTACAGCTGCTACCTATAGTAAGAAAAAAAAATCTCTAAAATTTACCGAAAATAAAATCTTAAGAAACCTGGTAGAATAGCAATCTCTTTCTATTTTGCACTGAGAGAAGGCTGGCTTACAACAAAGTGCTCTTCTGTGGTTATTCAGATAATCTCTTTAAGGAGGTCGTAAATATTGTTCCACTTAACTGGAACCAGTCCTCTTTAAAGAATGCTCCTATCCAAACTCCATTTGAATGATATCTCTGGAGCTTATATATTTATAGGTTTAAGTTTGTCAAACATGTTGAAATTGCTGATACTAGTTTTAGCTAAGCAAGCTATTAAGGAAGAACAATTTTGAAGAAAAATATTTAGCAAAAAAAAAAGTTCGAAGAAAATATTTTATCTTCACAAAGAAGCCCACGGCCCAGCCCAAGTTTGGATTATTTATGAACTGGTCCGGTTCGGTGAAACCGGGGTATTAAGAGATTTAGCCATCGTGTAAGAATCATCAAAAGGACAAAACCTAACGACAGCTTTGTAAGGAAGAAGAGAACATCAGTGTAGGTTCACAAGGTGATTCGTTTTTTCTTTTCTTTTTGTGGTTTCGATAGGTTGGGGGTTTTGATTTTCCCGTGTTGGTAGTTAGGGTTTGAACTGTTATTGGCAACTGTTTACCTCCGATGCTGATTCTCTTTTTCACGTTTTGGGTAGATATTTACTACGGAAATTGAATTTCATGTGCTAGTTAATTTAGTATAGCCATTGTAGGGTTTAATCACTCATATCTCAATTGTTACTGGAAAAAGCTGAAAACTTTATTAGGTATTTGAGGGTTCTAAAAAATTAAGAACATGTTATTTGCTCTGTGATTATGCAATTTTGGACTTGTGGGTGTGGCTAATAATCACAATTTTATAACCAAAATTGAAGACTTTTAGTCTCGTTTATATTACCCTTAACATTCATTGTGCATAGAAACTGTGATTGTTGATCTCTCTCGATCTTTATGTTGATACTGGAGACTATTTGGATAATCAGATTGAAACTGTCTTTTAGTCTGATATTTTCTCTTTCTTTAATTTTTAGATAGAAGAGAAAAAGCTATGACTGATTTGCAAATGGAAGTAGAGAGCAAGTCTGTTACTGAAACGCACATGGAGGTAGAGACCAATTCTTCTTCGCAAGAGTCTCTCCCTAAGCCTCAAGCCATGTACAGATGCAAGAAATGCAGAAGAATAGTGGCTATTGAGGAAAACATTGTCCCACATGAACCAGGGAAAGGTGAAGAATGTTTTGCTTGGAAAAAGAGAAGCGGTAACTATGCTGAACAAGTGCAATGCTCTTCCATCTTTGTCGAGCCTATGAAATGGATGCAAACTAGTGAGAATCTTCTTAAAAAAACTCTTTATAAACCTTTACTCTATATATTAGATGTTTTAACTTCTGTATCTCAACACACTGCTTTGTCTTTTGCAGTACATGATGGAACTGTTGAAGAGAAGCTTCTTTGTTTGGGATGTAACGCTCGCTTAGGTTATTTCAACTGGGCTGGGATGCAATGTAGTTGTGGCGCCTGGGTTAATCCGGCTTTCCAGCTCCATAAAAGCCGGTTAGACGAGTGTAAGTCCGAGCCAAACCCGAATCCAGAAACTGTGTGAAAGCAAACATGCTTGGATATGTAATGGTTATAATAAAGATCAAATTAAGCTTTATTGTATTGAACATGACATATAGTGAGTGTTTTTTGTTATAAGTCAAACAAAAGTTCACTAGATGTTTTTTTTTTTTTGGTCAAAAAGTTCACTAGATTAATGTTAATATATTGATAGTTTTTGTGTCTTTTTCTTTTCTTTCTAATTTTAGGGGAATAACCAAAGAGAAAGACAGGGAGACACATTTGAAAACTAGAGGCTCTAATTAAAATAATAAGCAAACTCATTGTTGTTTTCTCAAGAAAGAAATTAGCTAAATTAACAAATTAAGCGATTTCTAAAATAATTAAGCTAAAAATAACAATTGGTTTGTCGCACTTTGTGGCCCCTTTGAATTAGTTCTCCTCTTCTCTTATATATCTCAACAAAAGAAAACGATTACAAAAAGAGAAGAAGTGTTAAAATAAAAAGAGACAAGAATCTTTTAACATTTTCAGACAAAAAATGGCCACCAAAGCCATCTTCTTCTTCTTTGTCTCCGCCGTGTGCCTATCCTCTCTCGTCGGCAAGGCCGTCGCTGATGCCGACGACCTTGACACTTTCCAAATCCAAGGATCCGTTTACTGCGACACATGCCGCGTCCAGTTCGTTACACGTCTCAGCAAATTCCTTGAAGGAGCGAAAGTGAAGCTAGAGTGCAGGAGCAGAACCAACGGAACCGTGACGTTGACGAAAGAAGCCGTGACTGACAAGTCAGGAAGCTACAAAATGGAAGTGACCGGTGACCACGAGGAGGAAGTCTGTGAGCTCGTTCTCCTCCAGTCACCAGACAGTGGTTGCAGTGACGTCAGCAAAGATGATTACCTACGTAACGCCGCTAAGGTTAGCCTTACGGCCAATGACGGTATCGTCTCTCACGAGACACGTATCGTTAACCCTCTCGGTTTCATGGTTCCGACACCGTCTGCTGAATGTCCCGCCGCTTTTAAGGAGCTCGGGATCGTTCCTGACGTCACCTTCTAAATATGATGACGACTTTTTGTACCAACTTCAAGATTCGTTATTTAACTAACTGTCATCTCTATTGTTTGTTTTTCTTATACTATATACAAAAGTGTAATTTGATAAAAATGTAAAAAAAATGCCGTAATTAAAATAAAAACTACTTATCTTTCTCCGAGCATTACTTTAAATTTCTGATATATAGATAGTGTGTTTTTTTTTTGTATTACATAAAATGAGATTTGGAATCATAATTCACAGAGAGGAATGGAATGTACAACCTTTTTTATCTTTCACCATCGTCATCAGGAGCTACAGCCTAATTAACAATCAAGGATTTGTTTTGTTAGTCACATGAAGCTTATGATCTGCGAGTAATGCAAATGATAAATGAAACGGAGAGAGTTTTGCTATAAGTACCTGACGGATAGATTCTGCGTTTTCTTCAGAGTAGCGTTTGCGTGGTACTGCTTTTAGGTTGGTTTGGTGGCCAATCACGGATGATCTCTGAAACAGATGGTTTATATTCTGGAAGTTGTTCTCGCTCTTCCTCTTCCTCTTGCTCTTGCTCTTGCTCTTGCTCTGGCTCTAGTCTTGGCGAGGTGAATTGATGATCTACAGAGTCGAAACATGGAAGATCAAGGAACGAACCGGGAAAGGAACCCATATCATCATGTGTACTTCTTTCTCCACCTTGCTTCAACCTTGATGCAGATTCTCTAGGGCTTTCATCAGATTCCCACAGCTCAGAATCCGACAAGCAATTGTCTGAAACACCAGGAGATGACTGACAAAAGATATCGCTGTTGTTTTCGTCCTCATCATCGGAGTTGTTGCTAGCCTCTGGAACCAACTGAAACGAAGGGAACGTATCCACATTTTCACCGTTGTACTGAGGTTGGCATGGGATTCTCAGTTTCAATTTGGAAACTGGGGAAGGATCTATTGGATTGAATGTTATTTTCATATGTTCAACCGGTGGTGATGAAGTAGGCGAGCCAAAGAGAGATGATTCATAAGCCAATTGTTCCTCAAAGCTAGGGCCACGGGGAGGAGTTTGTTGAACCTTGTCTTCGATAGCTGCTGCTTTGGTATCGTAGCTGGTAGTAGGTATGGATTCAAATTTGTAAGTTGAGGAAGAGTTTCCACGAAACCCAGCCATGAGTAATCTATGACTTAAGCCAAAGACTTTGAATGATGTTGCAGCGCTCTGCAGAGGAGAGAGAGATCCATTGGAATGACTCAACGTGTTGCTTTGTTGTTGTGACGTGGGATCTGTGACAACTAATGGAAGTGAACTCCTCTCGGTATTTTCAACTGATCTGCTCGATGATCCCTGCTTGCTTGTCGGAATAACACTAGCTTCGTTGATCTCGTTATGTATATGTTCGCTTACAGACTTAGGCTCAGCAAAAACTGGAGGTTTCGATGGGGCAAGTCCAAGGAGTCCCCCGTTGCTCCATATATTTACTGGTTCAACAATTGTACCATCAGATGTTTCAACTTCTTTTTCCAGTATGGTTTTAGCAGGAAGATCCATGGAATCCGGAACTTCTGGTGAGAACTTTTGATCGAAAATAGCTTCTGCAAAAGATAAAAATGCGGCATCGTCCAAAAACACTTGTTGGTCAGGAATACCTTCCGACAAATCCAGATATGCAGCAGCAGGTTCTTTTCGCGGAATGTTGTCGTCTGGAACAGGTTCTTCCAACGATGTGGCAACAGGTTCTTCAGGGAAAGTTTTATTGTGTGGACCAGTTTCCGTTGGGGAAGCAGGGGCTTCTAAGCCGGGTTTCTTCTCATCAGAAATAGCTTCGGTCAATGACAGATCCGTGGCAAAAGGTTCTTCAGTGTTGTGTGGACCAGCTTCTGTTGTGTAACCAGGAGCTTCTGACTCTGAGATCTCTTCATCAAAAACAGCTTCTGCAGATGGTGGACATGTGGTATCAGCTTCTTTCAGAGATATCTTTACTTCAGGCACAGCTTCTGCCAAGGACAGATATGTGGCAACCGGTTCTTCAGGGAAAGATTTGTTGTGTGAGCCAGTTTCTGTTGTGGAAGCAGGAGCTTCTAAGCTGGAGATCTCTTCATCTGAAATAGATTCGGTCGATGACAGATCCGTGGCAACAGGTTCTTCAGTGTTGTGTGGACCAGCTTCTGTTGTGTAACCAGGAGCTTCTGTGCCTGAGGCCTTCTCATCAAAAACATGTTCTGCCAAAGACGGATACGTAAGTAAGGATTCTTCTGGCAAGTTCTTTTCCTTAGAAACAGATTCTGCGGAAGACTGATATGTGACGCCATGTTTGTCTGGAAAACTGTTTACGTTAGGAACAGCTAGTTCCAGAAACGGGTTTGTGCCATCAATTTCTTCTTCTGAAGTTTTCTCGTGCGGAACAGGCTCTTCCAAAGATGGATATGTGGAACAAGGATGTTCTAGTAGCGAGATCTTTTCATCACCAACAGCTTCAGAAAAATCTGGATCTGTGTCATAATCAGGTTCTACTTCTTGTGATATATTTTCTTCTGGCAATTCTTCCAAAGAAAGATACATATCTAAAGGTCCTTCTGGCATGATTTTCTCGATGGGCGCCACCCCTGTCAAAGGCAAACTTGTGGCGACAGATTCTTCTGTAGAAACGCTTTCATCAGGAACAGCTTCTGCAAAACAAGGATCTATGCCAACAAATTCTCCAGGTTCAGTTTTCTCTTGTGGAATAGCTTCTGAGACGGACAAATTCTCGGAATCAAGAACATCTAGTGAGACGTTTTTATCACTTTCAGCTTTGGCACAAGATGGATGTGTACCATCATCAGAACTTTCTTGTGCGATCTCATCTTCAGGCGAATTTTCCAAAGAAGCATACGCTTTTAAAGGTTCTTCTGGCAAGAGTTCTAGAATAGGCTCCGATTTCGTTAAAGACATACATGTGGTAACAGGTTCTTCCGGCAAAACCTTACTATCAGGAACAGCTTCTGCCAGATATGGATTGCCAACAAATTCTTCAAGTAAGATTTGCTCTTCCGGAAGAGCTGCTGCCACAGGAAATATTGTTGAATCAAGAACTTCTAGTGAGATTTTTTCATCATTACCAGCTCCAGAAACAGAGGGATGAGTAGCATAATCAGCTTCGTCTTGCCCAATCTTTTCTTTAGGCAATTCTGCGAAAGACGAATATGTTTTCAAAGGTTTGTCTACTAAGACTCCTCCAGTTGTCGCAGAATTTTCCAAAGAGAGACATGAGGTGACAGTTTCTTCTGGCAAAACGCTCTTATCAGGAACAGCTTCTGCAAGACATGCATTGTTAGCAAGTTCTTCAAGTAAGGTTTGCTCTTCCGGAAGAGCTGCTGCAACAGGAAAAATTGTGGAATCAAGAACTTCTGGTGAGATTTGTTCATCACTATCAGCTTCAGAAACAGAGGGATGGGTGATATCATCAGCTTCTTCGAGCACGATTTTTTCTTCAGGCAACTCTGCGGAAGAAAAATGTGTTTCCAAAGCTTTTTCTGGCAAGACTTTTTCAATGGTCGCAGCATTTTTCAAAGGGAGAGATGTGGTGATAGGTTCTTCTGCCAAAACGCTCTTTTCAGGAATAGCTTCTGCAATACATGGACTGCCAACAAGTTCTTCAAGTAAGGTTTGCTCTTGCGGAAAATCTGCTGCAACAGGAATATCTGTGGAATGAAGAACTTCTGGTGAGATTTGTTCATCACTAATAGCTTCAGAAATAGATATATGGGTGGCATCATCAGACTCTTCGAGCACGATCTTTTCTTCAGGTAATTCTGCGAAAGAAGGATATGCTTCCAAAGATTTTTCTGGCAAGACTCCTTCAACTGTCGCAGATTCTTTCAAAGAGAGACATGCGATGACAGGTTCTTCTGGCAAAACCCTCTTATCAGGAACAGTTTCTGCCAGACATGGATTGCCAGAAAATTCTTCAAGCACAATTTTCTCTTGCGGAAGAGCTGCAGCAGCAGGAACATATTTGGAATCAAGAACTTCTGGTGAGAGATGTTCATCACTGACAGCTTCAGAAACAGATGGATGAGTGGCATCTTCAGCTTCTTCGTGTTCAATCTTTTCTTCAGGCAGTTCTGTGAAAGAAAGATTTTCTTCCAAAGGTTTTTCTAGCAGGACTCCTTCAATTGTCGCAGATTTTTTCAAGGAGAGGCATGGGGTGACAGGTTCTTCTGGCAAGAACTTTTCATCAGGAACAGCTTCTGCCAAGCACGGATATATGCCAACAAATTCTTCACCTGAGATTTTCTCTTGTGGAAGAGCTGTGTAACAAGAAACTTCTGGTGGGGTTTTTTCATTACTAACAGCTTTACATGGCTGTGTGGCATCATCAGTTTCTTCATGCCAAATCTTTTCCTCGGGCAATTCTGCCAAAGAAGGGCATGTTTCCAAAATCTCTTCTGGCAAGGTCTTTTCAGTAGCCACGGGTGTTAAAAACACACATGTCGCAACAGGTTCCTCTGGCAAAGCCCTTTCATCAGGAACAGCTTTCACCAAACACGGATCTATTCCAACAAATTCTTCAAATCCGATTTGCTCCTGTGGTACAGTTTCTGCCACAAAGAAGTTTGTGGAATCAAGAACTTCTGGTGATAGATTTTCTTCTGGAGAACAAGCTTTGGCACAAGATGGAAGTGTAGACTCAAAAGATTTTTCTGGCAAGATCTTTTCTTGAGGCAATTCTGCCAGATAATGATGCGCTTCCAAAGGTTTTTCTGGCAATAATTGTTCAATCGGCGTGACTTTTGATGAAGACATACATGTGGTGGCAGGTTCCTCTGGTTCTTTTGTCAATAACGTTTCATCAGGAACAACTTCTGCCAAACACGGATATTTGCTAACAAATTCTTCCAGTGAGCTTTGCTTTGGTGAAGCAGCTTCTGGCACAGGCAAATTTTTTGAATCAAGATCTTCTGGTGAAACTTTATTTTCTTGAACAGCTTTGGGAAAAGATGGATGAGCAGCACCAGGTTCTTTTGCTGGGGTCATCTTCTCAGGTACAACTTCTGCCAAAGATGGGATTTTGGGAAGAGATTTTCCGATGGGTACAGTTTCTGCATTAGACGGATATATCGCAACAGACTCTCCTGGTAATATCTTTTCACGGGGAACAGCTTCTGCAAGAGATGGATACTTGGCCAAATGTTCTTCTGGCATGATCTTTTCAGCAGGGATAGCATCTTTCAGAAACGTTCCTGAGGAAATAAGTTGTTCAAATTCAATCTTTTCATCAGCACGATTTCTTGCCAACAAGGGATGTGCGGTAATAGGTTCGTCTGACAAAGTTGTTTTACCCGGAAAAGCTTCCTCGGCCAATAAAGAAGGACGCATGGCAGAAAATTCCCTTGGCTTTCGAAAAGTCTCATCATGAGACGGACTTTTCCCAAGCACTGGTTCTGATTGGCAACAGGAAACACTCGCATCGTCAGAAAGATAAGAGCCTGAACAAGATTCATCTAGGGAGTTATCATGGCGTGGATCTTCTACCATTTCTTCATATATATCTTCTGATCCTTCATTGTTGTCACTGCTAGCATCTTCAGAACAATAAGTGCTGATATCCCCAAAATAATGCTCCAGTTTTGGTTTTGGTATTCCATCAAGCTCACTCTCTGATTCAGATTCAATTGTATTACGTGCATCTACAAACTCATCTGCTTCGCTCCCTTGTTCACTCTTGTTTTCTTCTTCGTTCTCAATTCCTGGTTTTTCATCAATACCGTTGGCCTGGCTCTTACTTAGTTTTTCTCCCACAATACATACCTCGTTGAAAAAATCATACGTACTATCAAAGTCCCTTTGCTTCTGCCTCACCCTGTCTGGTGTTCCTGGACCAATTTTCAACTCGTGTATCTGTGACGCTTCTTCGTCTTTGTTACTTTCCTCTACCCTCGATATAAGTGCTCCTTTCTTCTCATCACAAACAATAGGAGCATAAGGCACATGTATCTCTTTAGAGGGACCATATTGAATATTGTCATCTACAACTTCAACGCGACCTTGAGGAACAGTTGAACCTATTCTATCCGCAGGTTGTAAGGAACTAGACAGAGATCCCTCTAATAGTTTCACGTCAGGCTTATTCACAGGACTGTGATTGATGACATACTCAATATAACCTGAACCAGTTATAGAATCACGAGGTCTTGATGACTCTTGTAAATCTGATTGTACTTGTTCTTCACTACGTTCTTGCGAATTTGACTGCTCTTGCAAAAGAGATTGGTCTATACTGCCAGAAAAATCCTGCATATTAGAGCTACGGGGCATGTCAACTGTGGAAGTACTCTGAGAAGTGGTTGGTATGTCATCAGTTAGAGAACTGAGACGAGCCCTGCACAAAGAGACAGGTTAACAAATAAGATTGCCAAGAACCACCACAATGAAATATAGAACATGAATGGACGAGAACTACTACGTCTATATCATAAGATCACCCACCCATTAGTGTCATCGGACGTAGACACAGCACGTGATCGGCAAATGTTTCTTTGTGGTAACCTCTTTTTCTGTCATTTCAGCAAAGCACAACTCAGATACAAATACAGCAGAACACATCCAAAAAGCGAACGAAGGAAAAAAAAAAAAACATAGCTCTTGAGATGTCTAACGATCATATTGTCTTCAAGTTACACGGTTCTTTTAAAAAACAATTAGGTATGAGGTACAGTTGTAAGAAGTCGAAACGAGTTCATAAGCAATTGGTTCAGCAAGCATAACCTAAACCCAATAAAATGATTACAAACCTTTCTTTTGCGATGAGCCTGATCTTTCTGGGCCTTGGCATCATCTTCTTTACTATGGTTGCCGAGTTCCTTTCTAAAGAATGTTGGGTCTGAGTATTTTCTCAGACACGACCCAGGACCACCTGCATCAAATCTGCGAAGGGAGAAAAATTAGCCACTTCAGAATGCATTAATTTATATTTATATTCATATTAGGATGAAACCAAAAGCATGTCCCTCACCTGTCAAGCAGATGCAAAGGAGGAGGATCTCTACACTGTTCATACGTTTCCATAACACAAAGTGGCAAATCACTCTGAACAAAATGTCTTTGCCCATTCCTTATACGAGGATGCCACTCACAGCCTACAACAGAAACAAAAGAAAAAAAAGAATAAGAATTATTCTGTACAAAAGATCACAAATATATATATATATATCACACACAATACTGTAGGAGGATAAGTCTTCATATATAGACATAGAAAACCAAAATAAGAGAGTATAGATGAGAGTAAAATCCACACCTGCAGTGTATGCAAAATGAATGTGACTTGTCTGTGACAGCACAGCCTTTTCAAGAGGTGACAACGCTGACTCTATCCGTTTAACACGGCTCGTCAGTTTCTGACACCTAGAAGCCGTAACAGTCACTTCCTCTTGTATCCCATTAAACACCTCTGCTGAAAATCTACATGCAAGAAATAACACCTGATTAAATAACACTCTTATCACTTCACATTCAAGAAAGACACACTCAAGTTAGCTATGTCTAGGTTACTTCCACATCATTCACTAATCAACACTTAACTGAGCTCAAAATCAAAACTATTGCTAAAAAAGCCCTAAGCCGTGACGAAACTCAAACATAGAGAGTTACTGAGATCCCTATTACTCGATTGGTGAGCTAATAGTAATCCTAATCAAGAGAAATCACCTTCAAACCCTAGAAAAAAAAAACTAATTATCTGAATTCAAATCTTCGTTGGGTACAGTCGAAGGAGGAGAGAGAGCTTACTCAGCGAGATCGCCTAACTGACGAAGGATCCCGACGAGTCCAGCAACTTCAACAGCGCCGAGAATCGCCTTAGGCTCCTCGTATTCCACGGCGGGGCTACGGTTTAGCTCCGGCCCACCTAAGCTGAGCTCGTTCCGTATCTTGAACCTCACCAACGGCATTGTCGTTTTCTCTGTGCCTTCTCTCTACTCTCCGTAGGAAATGAATGAAACTGAAGTTAAAATAAAATAAATTTCATTAAAAAAAAAAAACTGTGAGTATTAATTAATGAAATCAACTACTGTGACTCGTCCTTTTATTTATTTTGGAACCTAATTAAAGTTCTGATGAATAATAATTAGAGAAGGCTAAAGTTTTGATTCTTCATGCGTTTAATTCAGCTTTTCCAGATAGTTTTTCATTTTTGTTTGTTGAACAAAAATCCCTTTTTGTCTGGTAGTCTCCAAATCTTGTAATTCTGTTTGGGTCTGAGTATAACGCGGTACACAATCATGGGCCTTACGTGGGCTTTTAAGGTTCGAGGCTTATAACTTATGTACGGACTAACAGATCCTGGGCTGGCCTGAGCTGATTACTTGAATAAGAGTTTTGTTTCACAAGGTGATTCCACAACAAATTATTTTAACACTTTATTTTATTAAAATTGGTTTGAAATCCTTACACTATAGGGAAAAAAGGACTTCATTTTAATGGTTTTTTACCTAAAAAAAAATTAAGTTCCATTAAATTAAATACTCACGACTTGCCGAAATCATTTTCGGATCATTTAAAAGGAGACTATTGTTTTTTCTTAATAGAAATGGGCATGTTAGTTGATTAGTACCGGCGAGAAAAATACAGTTGTTTTCCACAGCGATGTGTATTGGTTAAGACTTAGAAAAAAAAAATCAAAACCTGGGCTGGCTGCCTATCTCCTCGATCAGTTGTTCTCATGCTTTCAATTCGTGTAATGTCTGACAAACAAAATTACAGTTGCAAAAATAATATCATGATTCATGAATATGATCCCAGGTGAAAAAAACATATGGACCCAAATCCCACGTGAATATTTTATTTTTTTGTCTTTTTCTTTTATGTATCGAGTGGATTTCTGTTGACGTTGCGTCCAAAAGTATATATCGAAAGATATATTACCCCACCCAAGATCTTCTCTTACAAAATCTTGTCCAACAATGCTTTTTTATTTTTAGGGTTTTCCTCGTCGGATTCCTGTTCGCCGGTCATCAGAATCTGATATTTCACCGGCTGCTAGATTTTTATTCCCGACAAAGGGTATCAAATGTGTTTATCAAAATAATATGCGTGTCTTTAAATTTAATTATTATGTTTTCTCTTTTATATTATGTTTTCTCTTTTATATTATTTACTCTTATGCTTTTTAGGTTTTTCTGTTTTCTAAATTATTCGATGAACTTACATCTTGTCCAGGAGCAAGCCATGATTTCACGCTATAGTATAAGGTTCTTCTGACTTTTAACTATACAGTCTTACTCTTAGTAGTCTTTATTTAATTTAAGTGTTTATTATATACACATTATACATCAATTAAACTGACACGTATTAACTGATTTTAGCTAAGTTCACTCCTTTATTAAAAAGTTAAATTTTACGAGCATGTAATATACATGCATGTAACAGTGACGGTGAATTTTACCATAACAATAATAAAGTATATCAAAAGGATACACCAGATATTTCCTCATTGTACATTCATATATTGGTAGAATAATGGAAACCATATGCACTATCCACTTTCAAAACACATTTTTGTTAAATTAGTCACTCATTGCATAGTACAGATGTGTTATTTGGTTTCTGCTAATGTGTGAATGAATACGAGTCACTATTTACTTCGTATCTATTTGATTTTTTTCTTCAATAACATCACAGTTTCACGCAATGTTTTTAAACTGACACTGAACCAGACACTTTGTCGGATCACCGAATTACTGGATCAACCACAGATAAATCATATATCAATATATTAATTAATTTTAATAAATAATTATATATTAACTATTAAAAATATAGGAAAAATTTTAACATTTCTTAAAAACATAGAAAATATTTAAATTGTTCTCTTTATTTTTATTTTATTTCACATATTAAATAATTAATATTAAATTAGACTATTTAACATTTTTTTATAAGAAATTAGGAGTTGAGACATACAGTAAATCATAACAAAACTGAAATCTCATAAGTTTTAGATATTTATCATTATTCTGTATTTTTTTAAAAGAATCATAATGCAATGTTCATCAAAATCAATAAATGGTTTAGTCGATGTTATATATGATTTTTTAAAATTAAATAAGATCAATAAATTTGATTAACGAAAACACTATTTATTTATAAACATGTAAAATCAAAAAAAAAATCATGTGATTAGAATAAAAATGAAGTTTATATGATAAAAATTAGAACTTAGAAATTAAAGTAGATGTTATTTACCACATACGAAGTTAACAAAAGTTTTAAAAGAAAATTGAAAGATATATAGAATATATGTGATACCACGAAAAATAATAATTTTATAAAAAAACTAAAAACTAAAAACTAAAAATCTAACTTCTTATTTTGGGTACATAGAAAGGGTATTTAATAAAATGTTTAAAAACTTAAGAAAAACTAAATAAAAATAACTCATTGATTCACATGTTGGTTTAACCGATAACCGGGCTACTGGATTTAAGGATTTTTAGCGAGTTTTATCAAATTTTTAATTAGTGGATATTTTTTAAAATCTAAATTGAATTATTTATCGGATCATCGGGTTTAGTGATCGGACCACGGATCCGGGTCATGAAGACACTGGTTTCACGTATATGAGAAGTGCTTTTATTAATCATCACAATCACAATTGGAATATCTTTAAAATTTTCAAGAATAAAAAATTAGAAGGTTTAATAGTCACTAGTATATTGTTATTGCGTATAGCTACGGAATGAGTGTCATCATCATCCATCAACGCTATTATTGTTTTGATATCTATTTCTTATGCATAAAGTTACAATAGGCTATATGATTCAACAATAGCCACTAAACAAAGCAACTTGGAGAAATTAATAATTCATTATTAAAACCAAAAATGATTGATTTGGTTAGCTAGGTCGTACAATGGATAGCTTAAACAAATAATTCTTAAGGAATTTTAAAAGATAAGCATATCATAACAGTGCGTGAATAACAACATCAGTGACCAAAAAGTTATTTAACAAACCAGATATGATATAATCTGTGAAAAAACAAACAAACCAAGTATAATAACAAAAATTTCATATAAATTTTTCTAAAGGAGCTGGAGCACCTTCTCACGGGTCCCATCCATTGAACTATATTCTCTCTTTTCTTTTATATTAAAAATGTGTACTAATTTGTATATATTTTTTAAGTTGATTTGAATAAGTTTTGTGTACGTCGCTAAATTATTTTTCTAGGATGATGACAAAGAAGGTCATAGAAAGTAATGTGTGAACATAAAGATAACGAAATACACACAATCTCTAGTATACAAAAAGGATAAAATCTCATTAAGTAGATCTTCTTCAATTGTCAAACTATAGTATGGATTGGTCATTGAGATATATAATATATACGTTCTCTCTAAAAACAATATAAAGCCTTCACAGTGTCTTAGAAATTAATTAGTAAAATCGGAACTAGTCTCGAGTTTACAATTGTGTGCTTTACAATGATTACTTTTTGACAGATTGATATTAACTAATTGTAGCTTGTATATAAATTTATATGGTATTTACATACAGTTATCATTATTTAGTTGCAATCGTGCGTTACGAAAACTTATTATGGTGATACATATATTATATCTTCAGTTAATTCTATATGAAATTAATTATAACATTTGTAACTACACTGTAATCTAGTGGTTTTCACTATATGAGAAATCACCGTGTTATTCGAGGACAGAGATCAATTAATGCAATATTTAGTTATTTATGTGATTAAGAGCACCCCCATCAAGGGTTCAGATGGGGGTTCACACGTTTTTCAAAAAAAAAAAATTATTAAAATAATGAACAGTAGTGAACCTGCCCCTTAAAAGTTCTCTGCAGTGAACCCGGTTCACTACTGTAGCGCGGGCCCCAGAACACGTGGCGGCCCGCGATTCGTCTATTTTTTTTTTTTTAAAAAAAAATCAAAAAGAAAATAGAAAAAATTTAATAATAAAATATTGAATCAATGAACCCCAAGAGGGGGTTCATTGATGTGGATGCTCTAAGGGCATCAGCATCAGTGAACCCCCACTTGGGGTTCACCAATTGATTTTTTTATTATTTTTTTTTTGTTTGATCTTTTGTAAAAAAAAAAAAAAAAAAAATTAAAACTGACCAATCGTGAGCCGCCACGTGGCGTGGGGCCCACGAAACAGTAGTGAATCAGGTTCATGGGAGTGAACTTCTGCGGCCCAGATTCACAAGTTTTACATTATTTTATTGTTTTCTTTTCTTGGTTTGTGTGTGAACCTCCCCCATCATCCTTTGATGGGGGTGCTCTAAGTAGCGTGGATCTCTAATTTCCACACGTAGAGTAATCGGATTTGCTTGTCATCCGTAGATATATCTCAGAGGATTAGTTGATTAGATCTTAGTTTGATTATGATATATATATATATGTTTTATATCTTTAGTCACTGTAGTCCTATGTGAAACTATAACATCTATAATCACATCATGGTTTCATGGTTTGTTGATTTTCACCGAATGAGAAGTTGATGTATTAGTCTAGAACGAAGATCAGTTTTACTTCAATGTGAAATCTAACTTTTTATATGATTAGGTGATGTGGATCTCTAAATCTCACGTAGAACAATTAGATTTATCTATTATCGATAAATAGATCTATAGAAGTTTAGTTAGTTGGATTTCACCCCAAGTATTGATTACTTAATAAAAATAAATTATAATATTTTTTTTAAGAAAAATAATATTCATCACTACTCAAAAGTTATAATATATATATTGCAATTCAGTTGGTGATATCATGTTTTGATTTCAAATAAAATCAGATAGAATTTTCATATTCGCATGAACTGATAAAAATTAACTGTCGCTTTATGTATGTATCATTTTTAGTAAAATACTCGAATGTTTTCTCTCCTTCCATTATTTCTCAGTACTACGTATCTCTCTCTCTTCCCTTTTACTTTATTTGTCGCTTTTAAACCTGCGATTTGCTCATAGACCAAACGCACACATACCTAATGATGTCTTCGGAGCATCACACACCGACGAAAGATCCACCGGATCATCCATCTTCTTCTTCCTCTAACCACCACAAGCAACTGCTCCCTTCGCAACCGCAACAACCGCTCAGCCGCTACGAGTCGCAAAAACGCCGCGATTGGAACACCTTCATCCAATACCTAAAGTCGCAGAATCCACCGTTGATGATGTCTCAGTTCGACTACACGCACGTGCTAAGTTTCCTAAGGTACTTAGATCAGTTCGGCAAAACCAAAGTACATCACCAAGCTTGTGTCTACTTCGGACAGCCCGATCCACCAGGACCGTGCACGTGTCCTCTCAAACAAGCTTGGGGGAGCTTAGATGCTTTGATCGGAAGGTTGAGAGCTGCTTACGAGGAACACGGTGGCGGGTCACCTGATGCTAACCCGTTTGCAAACGGGTCAATCCGGGTTCACTTGAGGGAAGTGAGAGAATCTCAAGCCAAGGCTCGTGGGATTCCTTACAGGAAGAAGAAGAGGAGGAAGAAGACTAAAAACGACGACGTTGTTGTCAAGAAAGATGTTGCAAACTCTTCATCGGCTCCTAATCACGCGTCCACTTGATAATTTTTCATATATAAAATTCCCATTATAATAGGTAATCATTTTATAAATTCTCTTTCTTTTAAATTTTTAAATTTCATAGGATCTTTTTGAATTGGAATTGTTCCCTTTGAATAATTAGAACACAATTAAATCAAAATATATATCGGTGTAATAATTGTGATGGATTCCATCAAAGTTTTCCTGATTTTCTGGTGTCAGTAACCCTAATCTTGAGTTCTTGGAATAGCTCATATGCATAAGCGTCTGTGAATATATATGTGTTTAACTAATTCGGTATTCAGAATCACATATGGCTTAGGGAGAGCATACTATTACAGATTTTTTTTTTTTTTTATTATAACTATTTGACTGTGGCCTAATACTAATAGTAGTGTATCTTAACGACATAACATTTCTGTATACTTACGTTGCATGCATCATCATGTATTTTCCCATACACAGCTGGTACACATGTAGGTCTGCACAAGTAAATTAAGGGTATTTCGTACACACACACACACATATATTTAGGCATATATCACATTGAATTGTTTTCGCAAAAATACGAAAAAAAATGTTATACCTAGGTCTTTGTATGTAGCTGTGAGTCTGTTAAAATACTAGGGTTTTTCTAAGATAAGAATATGACTTGGAAAATGATCTTAATCGTATAAATTAATTATTTAAAATGCTATTCTATGATTGATTCTAAATTATGTACTATATCTATATTTAACAATTAAATCTAAATTATGCGTGAAAAATCATATGTTAACAAAATAAGTTAGTATTGTCATGAAATCAATATATTTTCCAGACTAATAAATTTGTGAAAAATTTATGCTTGATGATTTAATATTTACAAAATATTTTTCATGAGTAGGCTATAAAGAAGAACACAAGGTACAAACTGTATTTAATGTTAAATGATCTTGTGGGATGTGGGTTAAGCATGTATAATGGGCAATATTCATTAAAATGTGGGCTTAGACGGGGCTCATTGGGCCTTTTCTAATTGGTATAATTTTGTTCACGTCGGCAAACCATTTAGATTCTTGTGATAAAGAACAAAAAAGTGTCAGTGACGACGAAATGATTGTTTCGCTAAACTACAGTTGCATGCTTTTGGGCGTAAATGACACTATGTTAGTACATTTAGCTCTTCGCTGCAGCAAACTTCCAAAATAGACCGACTAGGTTCTCAAGTTGTATGTATTTTCAAACATAAATATAGCAATATAATTTCTTGTGATCATTATTTCGCTCCATGTATCAATATGAATTATAAGTGATACAAAAAATTAACTTTTCGTGGTTTGGTAGGATAATTAGTTCTTTATGATGGAATGGGAAAATTATCTTGTGAGTAACAAAGAAAGGAGAAACAACGAACAAAAGAAACAGAAAAAAAAAAAGCAAAAAAGGAGTAATAAAATGTAACCGTGTTTGAAAAACGATTGCATATGTGTAGGAAAACAATCGTGTGCATTTGCGTCTAAACACCGTCTATATTCAGTCCTAAGAAACTTCGTAGATGTACCGACAAGATTTGGAATTAGTATATTTTGCGAAATGTCGCAGTAGTGTAGTATAGTTTTTTATATAATATATGTGCAAGTTCCAAACCTCTCTATGAAGAAGCTATAAACCTTTAACCACTAATAGTCAAAAAGGAGAAGAAAACATCTAAACCCAACAAAAGTTTCAGTAACTTCTGTCTCAGACCAAACCCACAGGCGAATTCGATGTACCTTTTAAATACAGCCCACAGTTTTCTCATACCTTGCGAAGAACACATTTAAACCACATACTTATATTATTTTTATTTTAAATGAACGTAAAGTTACTTTTAAATAAAAAAGATTTGTACATCAGGTGTTACATTGTTTGAGGGATTAAATGAAAAAAATAAATAAAAGAATGAATGAACCAAACCGGGATATTCTCTTCATATAATCTTTAATTGTTCTTCAACAGCTTAAGAGCAATCTCAACTGAGAATTATACCTCCTGGGTTCTGAAAAATAGAAAGTATATTAATATTTAGTTATAGAATTATTAATTTTAGGAAAAACATAATTAAAAATTCTCTACTAAAATATTTCAATTTGTGTTTCTCATAAAATTAAAAACATCACAATTAAATATAAATATTAATATACACACTCATACTCAGCTGTTTATGAATATTAAATATAAATATAAAATATAAATATATATATATATATATATATATATATATATTTTTTTTTTTGAGAATCGTGGAGCTACAACTTTTTTATTGGAGACACACTTAACACTTATACTCAGCTTTTTGTAAATTCAATAATTATTCTATTATTCATGTCTAATTGTATCGTCCTAAATCGTTTATGATGATAACATTTGATAGTACTTGTTGCATCTAACGCTTATTAGTTTTTTTTTCTTTAAATCTGCATAATCTTGTTTTTCTACTTGAAACCCAAATTTTGTAGTATAAAAACATTAATATATTTTTATTTAAATCAGTAGATTAAAGGAGGTTCCACAATTAACCCGTTGCTAACATAGGTAACAATTTTTTTTTTCTGTAATGGATGAAAAGTTGGCATCATTTAAAATATGGACCGCATTATAGTATTATTTATTCAGTTTTACCAATTCTATACTTTTTCATCAAACCAATTCCATACTTTATTCGTAAATTTGGTAGTCATGAATCTCATGATAAAACATTGGCTCTGTTCAGGATTCCAGTTCATAATCTTTCAGTCCAATTATCATTTTGAGTATGTACGTACTTGCATTAAATAAAACATATTCATGCCTGATGTCATTGCATAGCAAATGATTAAATTATGTCATGTATTGCATGCATGCATGCATGCATAATTGTTTTACCGAAAAATATCTCTTTATTATCAGTAGATACTCTGTATATATATGTCGGTACATCCATCCAAATACCTTGATATTAAAAAAAATATGTTTCGGAATTTACGACTAGATTTTATACCAAATATTAATTGTTTTAATAACAAAGAAACCAAAAACTTACGTGGATTTTTTCTTTTGAAACTAACTTACGTCGAAACTTGAACATAGTTCTTGTTCTGTCTCCAAATTAATTGGATTTTTAATTGGATTCCACGAATGACCATCATGAAATCGGATTATAATATAGTCTATTAATTTGATATTTGTATTCGGTTATATATTATTTAAACTTTGAAGATTTATTGTGATTTAAAGATGTTTTACTTTAAAAAGTAGTCTTAGAGCAGGATTAACGCAGGCAACCATTAAAGTTGCTTATTTTTTTTTTTTTTTTTTTTTAATTTTCGTCCTATTTAAAAAAATAATAATTAAAAAGAACGAATCGCGGGCCGCCACGTATCGGTGGGGCCCGCGTACAGTACAAGCAACAAGCAAAGAAAGACGCTTGTTTAAGAGTCAAAAACACCGGTTGTTGGTCATTTGGTAGACCCCACTGAACTAAGCAACTCCTTTTTGCTTGCGTTAATCCTGCTCTTAGATTTTAAATAAAATTATAAAGCGTTTCATGAAAGTCACATAATTATTTTGAATAATGCAATTATTTCAATACACCAAAACTCATTAAAAATAAATTATTCTAAGAATCTCAAATATTTTATTTAATTAATACACCTCTTCATGCAATTATTTCTGTTGTTACTTGTTAGTATATAGTAAGAGGAATCTAAATTGAACTCAATAAGTTTCACATATCATGACGAAATCGTAATAAAACAATAAAAGAAAACCATATTTTTTTAACATCAAAAGAAAACAATTTGTAGTCGGTGTTTTCCTCAATGTATTTATGTGCATTCGATACACTAGTAGAAATTGACAAATCATACGAAAATTCTAAAGCTAGGCACAAAATTTCATAAACGACAAAAAAGTCACAAAACCCCATCCAGAAGTAACGGAAAATGGAACGTTCTGAGCAAAAACGATGTCGTTCTACCGTTGTCGAAACCATCGAAGCACCACTACCACTAGTGTGGTCAATTTTACGTCGTTTCGACAAACCCCAAGCGTACAAACGTTTCGTCAAGAGTTGCACCATTCGCTTCGACGGTGACGGTGACGGAGGAGAAGGCTCCGTTAGGGAGGTGGAGTTGATCTCTGGAGTTCCGGGGGATTTCAGCACGGAGAGGCTCGACGAGATAGACGACGAGTCTCACGTGATGGTAGTTAGTATCATTGGTGGTAACCATAGGCTAGAAAATTTCACGTCGAAGACAATGGTGGTTGCGTCGCCGGATGATGAGGCGGACAAGACGGTGGTGGTGGAGAGTTACATAGTGGATGTGCCGGAAGGAAATAGCGAAGAAGATACTATATGGTTTGTTGATACAATTATTAGGTATAACCTCGTATCACTTGCTAAGCTTACCAAGAAGATAATGGCACAATCTACTTCTGTTTAGTTATCTTCGGTTTTATATATAGATAACGATTGTTATAAATCGTTGGCTTGGTAGGCTTGTGTTAAAAATAAAGCATTTTTTGGTTTCTGGCATAAGTTTCTAGTCATAAGTATTAGTTATATGTAAGATCTTCTCCATCGGCCAGATTGTAGAAAGCTTCTTAATTAAAAAGTAATAATGTAAAAACAGAAAAGTAAGAGAAATGGTAGAGGTTCTATAAACTCTCCTTTTGAAACCGGTTTGTAAATTTTAGTGCCACATGTGTTTTTTTATTTGCTAGTATTTATTCAAAATAATTAAATTAAAATATGTAAATATAACACTTTAAAATATTAATTTATTTTTGTTAAGCACTCTAAATCAGCATTTCCACCAATGAAATGCTCTAAGAACCTATGTAAAAAATATAATAAGTAATGCTATTGAAGAGTTGCTTTAATTAGTGATCTTTGAAATAACAGAATTTTTTTCTTCTTTTGGGACAACCTTTGAAATAACAGAATAATAGTTCAAAATCACGAGTTCATTGTCTTTCTACCAACAATATTTGTTTTGTTTGTTAGAGCATCATTATCCCAGCAACCCAATTTTGGGTTGCTTAAAAAAAAAAATTTCTTTTTCTTTTAATTTGATAAAAAAGAAACTAATCACGGGTCGCCACATGTCGATGGAACCCGTGAATAGTGCAAGCAACACCCCAAATCAATTGCTTATTTTAACAAAATAGGGGATGGTTGCTTGTGTTTTTGGTGGGGCTCACACACAAAAAGTGGCTAAGCAACCCACCAAAAATATGCATAATGGTGCTCTTAGCTCTGTGTTGTATTTGTATTATCTATACTATTAAAGCAGAATCCCTCATAGGATTCTGCCCATAGTTTTATGAGTTATTTACAAAGATATGCCATTAGCATTTAATTTAATATAATTAATATTTATTTAAACGAAAAAACTAAATAATTCCTATATTTAAGGTAACTAATAATTCCCTGATTTTGTGCTTAATAATAATTTTATTTTATGTAATTTCTATTTTATTTTAATTTTAATATCCTATTTTCATGCATAATANATTTAAACGAAAAAACTAAATAATTCCTATATTTAAGGTAACTAATAATTCCCTGATTTTGTGCTTAATAATAATTTTATTTTATGTAATTTCTATTTTATTTTAATTTTAATATCCTATTTTCATGCATAATATCATTTAGGGATAAAAAATTAAAACTATTATTTATTATGTCATAATTGATATGCCCATTCAATTTTTTTTTATAAATTAATTTTAGATATAAAATAAGTGAAAATATAAAATTATCATAGGTTATTAATAACAAAAAGAAAATAATATTGTTATATGAATATTTTTTTTCTATTACCATTGTTTCATATTTTCAAATGAAAAAAAATTCATTAAAGTCTAAGAAATTACAAAAAAAAAATCAATTTTATTTAATATTAAAACTATGTGTTATTTAAAACATATATTTGGGATCTACAGATATTATATTGCGGATTAATAGAGGATTTTTGGATATTTATCAGTTTTATCAAATTTTAATTAATAAAATTTCATATAATATTAGCCGGATTGTCGGATATATCAGTTTAACTATGAGTCTCGATCAGATATGAAAACATACAATACGCGAAAATAAAATAATATAATAGAACATTTTAATATTAGTAGAACAACTTTTATTTTTTTGTGTTAAAATAAAATTTATCAATTCAAATAAATTTTATCAAAAAGGTAAAATAAACCCGCGCTTTTAAAGCGCGGGTCAAAATCTAGTAGACTATTATGTTAGAAACTTTACTTATTGAGTACTGTACCAGATCTCTTGGAGCATCATCGCAAGAAATTTACATGAAATTGGTGAAAGTATTAATTAAATATTACTATTATAACTAATAGATTTTTCCAAAACTGAATATTTACTTAATATTATTTCAAAGTGAGTAACTCAATTTTATTTATTTTTAGGTTTAAAATGTTTACTCATTATAATATTAATATTTTGGGTTACTTAATTATTATTATATTATGTTCATATTTTTGATAAAATTATATTAAATTCATACTTTTATTTGAAATATATATAGCAATAGTATATGTATAATTTATTTGTCTCTTGCTATTTTATGTAAAATGTGACAACTAATATTAAAAAGATATTTCATTACAAGTTGGTGAAAATTAGACAAATGAAGTGTCACTCGGATTCAATTTTAGTTAGGAGTAATTAACTATTTACATTATTTGGGTTTGGTTCTCGGCAAATAAGTGAAATCACAAACCAAAAAAACTATAATTCTTGTTGGGCTTAATGATATGGGCTATTGGGCCTTGTCATAGCTTGAGTGCATTGGTGGGGGCACTGTGAGTGGTTTGCCACGTGAAAGATACTTCATTCCCGCAAATTTAGGGATTTTTGGTCAACTAAAATAATTTCACTTCTCTCTTTCAGAAAGAATAAGGAAAAACACAAGGAGAGAGAACACAAAAAAATAATTAATTTTTGTTTTGTTTCTAGTGTATTTGTCAAGCTTCTTTGTTATTGATAAGTTTCTTTTGTTAATGTACTTCTCAAGTTCTCGACTGCTTTTTGAACGGTTCATTCTTCCTCTTTCTTTTGTATACGAAACTTAACTTATCCTGTAATTTATTTGTTTTAGTGCTGTTTCAGTCATGATTGATCTATGTTAACAAGTAAATTTCGAGATCTGGTATCACTTGATGAATGTATAAGAGCTCAAAACGAAGTTGTTGAGTAATGTTTTTTTTCCATTAAAACGACTCTACCTATAAAATAAAAAAGTTGTGTTTCAATATACTATATACACAATGTAAAGTCAAATGTTAATTTGTTCGTTTTCAACTTGTAGGTCCGTATATCTTTTTCGAACCATGTATAAACCTTGTAGTTTAAACTTCCTTTTTTCTTAATAACAAATTATTTTAACAAATTAAGTCCTATTGGATAACTCAAGCTTTTAAATATCAGGACAACTCACAGTCACCAGAATAATCGTTAAACATGCACTAATCGGGCGTTTGAAGATTGAAAGTGTTCAGCTCCAAACAGACTTTTTATAAAAAAAACTTTGAGCAAATCAATTAATTAGTGTATTGGGAGAAAAGTAAAGAAGATTAGTGCACCATGATGAGACATTGTGTGTGGCTCGGAAAAGGACAGAACAACATGTGTTCCATTACCAATGAAGTTGGTCCACTTCACTTACTACTTATTTGGCTCACATAAGAGTCTTTTCTCATTTTACTTTATTTTATTTATTTTATTGCTTTTGAAAAAATAGTTGAGAATTGAAAGTTGAAACACAACCACTCCTCACGTTTTGCTAGAGGAATCATTTACACTAATGCCAATTTTGTCTCTGATCTTCTTGTATTCTAATGTCTAAATATATAATTTCCTGTGCAGAACACTTTAAGTTCCAATAGCAAAACAAAAATAGTTGTTGATCTCATCATTAATTGTCAATCAAATATAGCGGTGAGCCGGTGATGTGATTGATTGCTATGACCTTAATTATATGAAATGAAAACATACGATCTTAGGGCATCTCCAACCCTACTCCATTTTTCACTCCAAACATCATTTTGGAGTAAAATCCTCTCCAACCCCATTCCATTTTCAACTCCAAAATGGAGTAATGGCTAGGGTTACTCCATTTATGGAGTAATCTTACACATTACTCCATTTTGGAGTTAAACTTTTTTTATTTATGAAATAGTCCTTTAACTCTCTAATATTTTTATTTCTTACTTAAATAATATTTTTTAAAATAAAATAACATGAAATACAGGATATTTCATTATTTAATAATTTAACACAAAAATACATAGCATAATTAAAAACATAAATAATATTATATAAAATATCATAAAATAAGAGATTTAAATAAATCGTTTCCGGATCCGTTAAGACCGGTGAAATATTTTCCAAAGCTCATTTTTCATTACGAAATGCATTAGTTGATCATTGTTGGAAAAATATTCTAATGCTCATTATTGAATCAGCTTATATTGTGTTCTATTTTATTTTTCTGATTTCTTGTACTGTTTAATAATAATTTTTAATTTAAATAAATTATATTTTAAAGTATTTTTATAAACATAAAATAGTTGGGGTTAATTGGTAAATTTTTATAAATATAAGGTATTATTAACAATTATTAATTATTTTGGAGTAAAAAATGAAGTAATACATTGGAGTAAAACCTTACTCCATTTTGGAGTTGCACCATTTTGAAGTAAAATATGGAGTAATACATTGGAGATGCTCTTACATCAAAATTCCCTCTCAGACAAATATGTTGAAAACTTGATTTTAAGGGAAAAAATAAAATAAAATAGAAAAGTCTCTTTATTAACAATTCTTTTTTTCTAAATTCATCTACTATTTTCCTAAACTCAAGCCTTCAATCTCGGCCCCAAACATTCGGCGACATTTACAATATATCAATTTATTTTCCTTTAAAAAAAATAATCTCTACATTATTAAGAACAACAGCAATCTCAAACACAACAGAAGAAGGAGTTTCAGTGGTTTCTGATTCTTCCTTGAGCTAACTTGACGTCTTTTAATTTTCATGTTAGTTTCTACATTTTCTGCTCTTCTCATTTCACTTCTTTAATTGTCTGATCTGCTCAGACAACATAAAGATTATTTTTCTTTATTCAAATTTTGATAAACTTTAATCTTTCTAATTTTTTTCAAGAATGGAGGGGAGGAAGCTGAATTTATATGCACCATTACCATCAATAAGACGAATCTCAAGTAAAAAAGAGCATCCAAGTGAATCAGAAAACAAGAAGACATCCATTACAAGACCAGAGCCTCAATCATTTCCTAGCAAAGAACAAGAAACACCTGTTTTTGTATTACCAGACCAAAGCTTCGATCATCTCTCAGAACCAGCTTCAGTTCCTTTTGTTTGGGAACAGATCCCTGGAAAACCAAAAGATGACATGGCTACATTGATTCAAGAATCCGGTTTACTAGAAACCGATGATGAAGAAGAAGAAGAAGAAGAAGATTTGGATACGGTTTCATCTAACAGAAGCTTCTCTGTTAACTGCAGCACAAGTGGAGTGAGCGACATCGACAAATCCGACGATGCGTCGTCGTCTAGGGAAAGTCTTGATCTAATGATGTCGAGATTCTTACCAGCTGCTAAAGCAATGGCTTTCACACATCAGAAGCACCAATCTCCTTCCTCTTCTTATAACTCTTCAGAGCAGAAGCAAACCGTACAAAACAGAGAAGCTCTTGTAATTCGCCAAAGACGTCAACTAATAGCAGAACATGAGCATTTCGCTATAGTTCAGAGTCTTTATGATGATTTAAACATCGAAGATGATGATGAAAGTGACGATGAAGACGAGGATGATCATCGGATCTACCCTGAAGTCACTATCAAGAAAGCTTGTGGATTCTTGCCAAGGCTTTGCGCTAGGAACTCATTCAAGTTCTCAAACCCGGTTCCTCTAGATTCAAGACTAAACCGGAGTTTGAAACATTCTGGTGACCAAACCGGGACACCAAACTGGTCAACTAGGCGTCTTTCCGGTTTTATATCTCCGTACCGAACCTCTTGTTCGGAAACCGGTTTGCTTAAACAACCAGAGAGCTTCAAGAGGCTAAACAGAGGAATAAGCAAGTCTCAAGAACTGTATCAACCAAGAACAAGAAGAGAGGCTCTTCCTAACTACTCACACTCTGGAGAAGTCTCTATGTTTAGAAACTCCATCTCAACTCCTTCGAGGATCCAACGGACGACAATGCACGACTCTAGGTTCCTTGTGGAGGAAGTAAACAGAAGAAAGAGCAGCAGCATCAACAGGTCAGGGAATCTTTTGAAAGCTTCGCCGGAATACACGGCGGCGATCTCTCCGCCACCTTTACCTGAAACTCCATCTCGGCCTTGGCTCCGAAAAACACTCCTCCCGCCGGTGAGCCCTAGACCTTACGTTTTAGGTCAAGTTGGTACCAAGAAAGTGGATCAAGAAATTCTTGAATCTACAAAATGGGAAACGATCGTTAAAACATCTTATGTTCACAACGATCACGTTCGTTATTCTCAGGTATTAAAAATACTATTTGTACATTTTTTTTTTTCTACAAGTCATTATTTAAAGAAATGTGTATTAGTGAACATCTTTAATTATATAACTTCTCTATGTGAAATCCAATGCAGGAGCTTGTTGTTCATCCCTCTCGCCAGCAAAATACATAAACACAACAAAAAATACTTATTTTGTTTTACATTACAGTTAAATTAATAAATAGCTTTAGAATTTGCCTCTTTTTTTCTTGTAGGCAACACGAATTTACATGAGATTGTATTTTGTGTGTGTCAGTGTGTGTTAAGATTGTGGCCTTTGTTTTTCCGACCACATGTTTTGTAATCCAAGAGAAAAATGTTATTGATGTTTGATAAAACATACATAATGTGGATAACCGGTTATGACTAATCCGGTCAGGCTGGGACATTTACACAACATAACCAGGGCTGGTTCGTAGCATCGATCCAAGAATTTGACCTTGGGTCTGAGTATTTTGCCTCTACAATGAAGAAATGTTTATAAAACAAGGTTTATATAAATTGCTTTTGAATAGTTAAATTCCTATATATACGAAAATAAAATTCAGTTATATTAATCTCAGACATTGATGTATTGACTTTTTTTTTGGCTTAACACCTTTGCTATTTGACATTAACGATATATATTAAGAAAATAAGAAGTTATGGGAGGCATGTCGTGATGAATAATGATGGTTCATGCACAACAATTGCACATGACATCATTTGAAGAAGAAAAAAACATTTATCCTTTGTGACAGTGCTAATTGTAGATAACGACTTGAAAACCGTTGGATTCCGTTAGATTAAATGATATGATATCCAACGGTTAGAAATATTTACTACTTTATTACTGGTCCTACTTCTAGTAGTAAAGTATAAGGCAGGCACGTCTCATTGGTCCTACTACACTACTTTTTATATTAAAGGAAATACAAAAAATAATTTACTTTTAAATATGCACTTAACAAGGTGAGGTGTCTTGAGCACAATAAACAAATATGATTTAATTAGAAGAATTAAGCATCTATAATTATGCAAAGTATGTAAACTAAAAGCAAAATTACAAGGAATTAGGGATTGAAGAAATTGGAAAATTTTATTCCAAAATAAATTAAAAGGAATACAAAATTCTGCAGAGAGGGGAAGAAAAGGGAGAGGGAGGAGAGAGAAGGCACCACCCTTTGTCCCCTAGAGAGACCAAAGATGATCGAAGAGAGAATACTCTAAGATCATCATCACCTGCAAAAACCAGAAATCAAAATTTTATCTTTTTTAAAAAAGATTAGATTTGTTTATATAAATTCTAATCATTTTTTTTTCTGGAAATATTTTGATTTCTTAAATCTCCCACACCAACATTCTCTTGCCCTACCCGCTTTTTTTTATTTCTTTTTCTTTCCAGAAGCATAACAAAACTGCATTATAAGCAATTCCTTTTCACAGTAAGTTTTTTTTAAACCTTCCAATCATTTGCCTGATTCCTTTACGTAATTTGCAAAATGTTCTTCATTTAAAGAGAAAACGGATCAATTTTGTAGGGTTTTCTATACATTGCTTGTTCGAGAAGTTATCCTTTGGTAATTATTGTTCATCTTTTTTGGTCAACAATTTATGATGTTTCATCTTAATTTTGTTTTTTTGTATCTTGTCAGGTATTAAGAAACAACGAGCTGTATAGATCCCCTGAGATGTATACTGTGATCAAAAGGGTTTTGTGACATTAATTTTCAAACCTGGAAAATGATCACGGACGACCCTGATATTCGAGTTTTGTTTTTTGATTTGTAATTAGGATTTTTTTTTTAGCATAGTGTTGTTGTTTGTAAAAAAAATACTTAAAAATGGGTTGTGGATTCCACTACTCTTACATCATCTTCTTGATCATTAGCCTTCAAGCTCCTCTCTCGTTTTCTATCAATTCCCAAGGTTAGACTTTTATAAATCCCGTCTTCTTTTTGTTTTAAAGATTTTGTTTAGGGTTTTGGTTCTTAGTTGTTTGATGAAATTTAGGATACGCATTGTTGAAGTTCCGGGCAAGAGTGAACTCGGATCCTCATGGAACTCTTGCAAACTGGAATGTTTCTGGTAATGATCTCTGTTCTTGGTCAGGGGTGACTTGTGTTGACGGTAACGTGCAGATTCTGTAAGTTCCTTGTTCCACAAGGTTTACTAGATCATTTATGTTTCTTAAAAATTCTGACAAAATTTGATTATTATTTTGTGTATTATAGGGATCTTAGCGGATGTTCTTTGGAAGGAACATTAGCTCCTGAGCTTAACCAACTAACTGAACTAAGATCTCTGTAAGGATCTCTTTGATGGTCAAACTCCAACTTTTTTCAACTTTTGGTTCGGTTTATGGACTAAACCGGTTCTTGTTCTTATAGGATACTCTCCAAGAACCATTTCTCTGGAGAGATTCCAAAGGAGTATGGGAGTTTCACAAAACTTGAAGTCTTGGATTTGAGAGACAATGATTTAACCGGAACAATACCACCTGAACTAACCAAAGTCTTATCGCTAAAACACTTGTGAGTTATATAGTTCAATGCTTAACACAATGTGTTAAAAGAGTGTTACTTAAACAAATTTTGAATATGACCTTGTTGAACTGATTCAGGCTGCTTTCTGGTAACAAATTTCAAAGCGATATGAGTATAAAGAGCCTGAGACTTTTTGCTGTTCTTGGCTGTGCAAATAGAAAATTTGGACACTGGTAAGCTTTATAATATTCTCACCTAACACAATATATGATCTTCTAAAATGTAGATTCTTTCTTGACAGTTTTTCAAGAAACCATATCATTCGAGTAAAAAAAGTTGAAGCATTTGTATTCCGTATCAAAGCAACTTCAAGACGTTTCTTGAAAGCACTCCCACGTAAGTTCTGTCTCAACATTTTATTTAACGTAGAGACTAATTAATGATTAGTACTTGAAGATTTCAACGCGACTCTTGCAGGGTTTTTGGACCAAACTGATATCTTCAAACGACGTGAGTTACTTGAGGAGACAAGTAACTTGGCGGCTGAGCCTGCTCCTAGTCCTTCTCCTGAGACTACAACTGAAGCCTCTCCTCGAAGCAGCGGATCTTTCCCAGCAGTAACCAACGCAAAGAAGAGGGTACCACCTTTACTCCCTCCTCCACCTTCTCCTGATGAGGACACTAGCTCTGACTCCTCCGAGAATCAGCCACAAGATAATAAACAGTCAAAAGGATCAAAACATGTATGGCTCTATGTGGTTATCTCGGTTGCTTCTTTCATCGGTTTACTGATTATAGTAGCTGTCATAATCTTGTGCCAAAAAAGAGCTGTAAAGAGCATAGGTCCTTGGAAAACTGGTCTTAGTGGACAACTACAGAAAGCTTTTGTCACCGGTAAGAATCTAAGACTTCTCTTTTTTCCATTTATAACACTCTGTTTCTTTATAAGCAATTAACGTTGAAAATGAAACTTCATAGGGGTACCAAAGCTGAATAGGGCTGAGCTAGAAACAGCATGTGAAGATTTCAGCAACATTATTGAAGCGTTTGATGGTTACACTGTGTATAAAGGAACTTTATCAAGTGGTGTTGAGATAGCTGTTGCTTCAACCGCTGTTTTGGAGTCTAAAGAATGGACTAGAGCCATGGAAATGGCATACCGTAGAAAGGTTAATTAGTTACACCTTTTTTAACCTCTTTAAATTAATAATCTATAAATTAATATCTCTATAAATTAATATAATTTCATAGTCCCAAATTGAACTTTTGGTTAAATTAATATCTCGATAAATTAATAATCTCTATAAATTAATAAAAATTTTAGTTTTTGTGTAGTCCCAACATTATTAATTTATAGAGGTTTCACTGTATATCTATTTTTTTTTTGTAGATTGATGCACTTTCTCGGATCAACCACAAGAACTTTGTGAATCTGATTGGATACTGTGAAGAAGATGAGCCTTTTAATAGGATGATGGTCTTCGAATATGCTCCAAATGGAACCCTTTTCGAACATTTGCATGGTAAAGACATTAGTCTTTAGTTTCATAATACTTTCTTGGTTTAACTTTGAGCTCAGTTGATAACGTTTGTTTGGCCTTATCAGATAAGGAGATGGAGCATCTTGATTGGAGCGCAAGGATGAGAATAATAATGGGAACTGCTTATTGTCTCCAACATATGCATGAGATGAACCCTCCCATGCCACATTCTGACTTCAACTCGTCTGAAATATACCTAACCGATGACTACGCAGCCAAGGTTTGCTCTAACAATATCTCTCAAAAGGTTTTCTAAAAGGTGTTGTTATTCAGTACCGGTTCTGACATGGGAAAGACCAGAAGCAATTTTCTAAAAATTGATCATTTTTATAAAAATATTTATATATCATAATAATAATTTTCTTCTAAAAAAGTTGATTTTTTCAAGTATTTTTTGAGGACTGAAAGCTGTTGTTTGTAATGTTACCCCTCAGGGTCGGTATTGTTGTTATTACATGATTCTAACCTAAAGTTGCAAGAACACGTGAAACTGTTTTAAAGAATCAAGAAACGTTTTAGAGATGTTGTCTTTAAGCTGCTAATTAAACAGAGTTGTTTAACCAAACTTTACAGGTCTCGGAGATACCTTTCAACTTAGAGGCGAGATTAAAGCCGAAAAAGCACGTGAGTGGTGACTTAGAGCAAGCATCATTGCTACTACCTCCAGAACCTGAAACTAACGTCCATAGCTTTGGACTCTTAATGCTCGAAATAATCTCCGGAAAACTCTCATTTTCAGATGAATATGGATCTATCGAACAATGGGTACGCATTTAAAACGCTTTCTATTTGAATAAAAACATAGGATGTTGTGATCGTATATTAAACGGTCTTGGTCATGTTCTATAGGCATCAAAATATCTTGAAAACGACGATTTAGGAGAGATTATAGATCCATCGTTAAAGACATTCAAAGAAGAAGAGCTTGAAGTGATATGTGACGTGATAAGAGAATGTCTAAAACCAGACCAGAGACATCGACCTTCAATGAAAGATGTAGCGGAACAACTAAAACATGTTATTAACATAACTCCTGAAAAAGCTACTCCAAGAGCATCGCCACTCTGGTGGGCTGAACTCGAGATCTTATCCTCTGAAGCAACTTGACCCTCAATGAAAATGCTCTTTCTCTTTTACGTTGTACCAAATTTTATTTTTCTTCTGGTTTCTTGTATCGGTTTTTTTTTTTTGCATACGAGCTTTTGGTTCTTGATTCTTCACATTGAGTTTGTTTTGATTAGTGTTTGCTTCTCGATGGATTTGGTATATACGAGTTTCGATATGTGTTTGTATAATGAGGCATAGTATAGGCATATATCGTATTCACGTGTATATTTGTGATGAAATATGTGTGAGTATAGTTTTTCTTTGCACCAAAAAAAAAGGTATAGTTTTTCTTCTTTTATTGTTACTATTAATTTTCTTGGTCTTTGGCTTCCTTGTATGAAAACCCCAAAAGACATCCCAAATAAACTAAAAAAGAGCAATAGCTGAAGACATATGGTGGCAAGACTAACAGATATGAGAGTTGTTTTCCTCTATTTGGTGTATTATTATATTTTCTTGCCTCCTTAGAGCATTCCATAGAGAATTTCTAATAATGAATTCTAATTCATAAATTCTCAAAATACACAAATACGTATATGTGTATAATTTTACGGGAAACTTAACTAAAAAGTTTTTTGTACATAACTTTTTAATTAGATTTCACGTAAAACTAAGAACCTAACAGTTAAATACTAATATTAAAATATATATATATATATGTACTTTTAGAATTTCAAGAGGAGAAATCTCCGTTAGACATATTCTTATTAAAAGGTTCTAGAAGAGTTCTCAACATATATAAAATATATTTTGAAATAACCTTAATTAGTGGATGGATCCCAACAACTGATGAGGCAGAAGATGCATCAAGAATCTGAAGCTGCCACGGATGCTGAAGGCGACGTGGATAAGTGATGTTCAGCTGTCAAAACATGCAGAGGAATGACATATTCGCTGCAATCAATTTCAAAATTCGGAAGGAGTAAGTTTCCATCCCTGAATTGACTAGCTGGAGTTAGGATTTTAGGCATTGTTAGAAACTCTAATGAAAAGGAAACATAATAAAATAGAAGTGAATTGGCTTAGGGCATGCACTATAAAAGTTTAGACCGGCATTGAGTTCATTATAACTAAACTGATCATGATTAGTATAGTAGTATTTGTAAACGAATAGTTAGGCCCTGTTCGTTTGTACATCTGAAAGATGCATCCAGATGGTCTATCTAGATGTCTTATCCAGATGCTCCATCTGGATGTTGTTCGTTTCTCTATTTCGTCTATCTATCTAGATGAATCATCTAAATGTAACTATGTTCGTTTGTTTTTTTAACTTGCATCTGCATCCAGATGGATTTGTTAATAAAATGAATAAAAGAAATTTGTGTTTACATTTTTAGCGGGAAAATGTATTTTTACGATTTTGATGAAAAATGAGTTTTTCCAGTTTTGCCGGAAAAATTAACGTTTACGATTTTGACATGAAAATGTGTTTTTACAGTTTTAGCGGGAAAACATTTTTTGCAATTTTGGCGGGAAAACGCGTTTTTACCGTTTTGCCGAGAAAATGCGTTTTTGCAGTTTTGGCGGGAAAACGCGTTTTTATGGTTTTGGCATGAAAACCTGTTTTTACGGTTTTGGCGGGAAAACGCGTTTTTGCGGTTTTGGCGGGAAAATGCATTTTTACGGTTTTGATAGAAAATGTGTTTTATAGTTTTGGTGGGAAAACGTGTTTTATGTGTCTTTACGGGAAAACGCGTTTTTACGGTTTTGGCGAGAAAACGCGTTTTTGCAGTTTTGGCGGGAAAATACATTTTATGTGTTTTTGGCGGGAAAAACATTTTTACGGTTTTGGCCAGAAAACACATTTTTGCAGTTTTGGCGGGAAAACGCGTTTTTACTGTTTTGGCGAGAAAATGCTTTTTTGCAGTTTTGGCGGGAAAATACGTTTTATGTGTTTTTGGCGGGAAAATGCATTTTTACGGTTTTGGCGAGAAAACGCGTTTTTGCAGTTTTGGCGGGAAAATACATTTTTATAGTTTTGACATGAAAACCTGTTTTTACGGTTTTTGCGGGAAAACGCGTTTTTGCGGTTTTGGTGGGAAAATGTATTATTACGGTTTTGGTAGAAAATGAGTTTTACAGTTTTGGCTGGAAAACATGTTTTATGTGTTTTTACTGTTTTAGCGGGAAACACACATTTTTACGGTTTTGGCGTGAAAATGCGTTTTTGTGGTTTTGGGAGCAAAATGCATCTTTGGCGGGAATATGTATTTTTGCGGTTTTGGCGAGAAAGTGTATTTTTACGATTTTGGTGGAATTTTTCGGTTTTTACGATTTTGGCGAAAAAATATTTTTTGGTTTTTACGGAAAGATATATTTGCAAAAAAATTTAGTATTTATGGTTTAAAAATTATATTTATTTTAAAAGGTTATTTTTGTCATTTATGATTTTGGACTGAACTAGATGCATCTGCATCCAGATGCACCATCAAGACTCACCCTCATTTGGGTGAGAATTTGAGATGAGTTTTTAAAAAATCAGTTGGGTGATCCATCTAAATGTAGCATTTTAATGTACAAAACGAACATTGATTTGCATCTTCACCCAGATGGATCACCTGGGTGAGCAAACGAACAGCACCTTAGTGTGATGAGGAAGATTGGATACCACACATTTCCAAACTGAATTTGAATATCTTCTTACTAATGTTAGGGGATGGACCAATGCTGAAAGTTTTCACAATTAATAACAACCAGTCAGGGATACTATGTTACTTTTGGAGTTCCAATTTTTCTTTTCTTTTTTTGAAACAAAGAAGAGGTAACTGCTATGAAACTAAATTTTCATGATTTTCATATATATGAAAATAAAAGGTACATGGCAAGGACGAAACAACAGCACTTAAGTATGTGTCAGGAACCATAGAAGTGAGTGACATTATGCCTTTCGTTTCCCCACCGACGTAACTGAACCTGAAACGCAGCCAACGCTGCCAAAAACTCAACACACTGCGGCGGTGCTAAAACGTCTAAAATACCCTTGAGCGTTTTCAGCCGCACACAATCTGCCGCCTTCACCATCTTCTCAAGCCTCGTCGCTAATCCTTTCACCGCCGCCTCAACCAACACAGCCGATTCCCTTTCTACTCCACCGACATGACATCCAAGCCTCGCCAGCTCCACCATTTTCTTGTCAGCCATTGCCACCTAGAGACAACCTCAAAAGTGTACAAATTATTTATCATATATAACTTTACATAGTTGTAGACTTTTATTCAAGCATATACATATTTGACGTTGGCTTTCATTGGTAATTGCATCATGCAAATATACAATTATGATAATGAAATTCTAAACAAAAAGAAATATATATGGTCTATATATATATATTTCAAAATTGCAGTTAATGCATACGGTTAAATTCAAGTTTTTTATAAACAAAAATTCAGTATATTCATATGTATTTAAACATTTAATCTTAAGAAGAAAAAAAAAGAATTTACAAATCTGTACGAAACTAATCAAGGACCCACCTGATATCGCTCCATCTCTCTCTCAATTTTCTCTTCGTCAAACCTAGTCTTAACTCTCAGCTCCTCCAACTTCTTCACTTGAGCCTCCACAAGCACCACCGTTGGCATCCACGACTTCCTCAGTCTATCAAGCATCCGAAACACCATCGACGGTTTCCACCCGGTTAACCAAAAACAAGATTTCTCTAAGGGGTTTAGCCAAACCGGTCCAAAGAAAGCCAAAACGTCTTCTCCTATAGCCGCCCATTTCGATGTGTAGTAAGCTTTGTGATGTGTAGTAAGCTTTGAGATCAATCCTCGAATCTCGATCTCACTCATAGTGTTGCTGTTGTTATGAGCAGTTATGAGTTGATGAAGATGTTGCTCGAGTTGAAATATCCAACTCTCGTAGAACTCGAGGAACTTTTCTTCTGTTCGGTTTCTCATTTAGCTTTTAGTTTGTAATATTCCTTATCACATTTAAGCGTTTTGGGACAGTATTTATACATGCGACTCTATGTACATACACTGTAATACATATTTATGTCCGCAGGTGAAAGTAACATATTTTAGTACCACGTCATGATGATTTATATATATTATTAAACCAAATAACGATTCTTATTCAATCAAAACTTTTATCCACCAAACAAAATATAACAAACTTTGATTCAGTCTAATTAACATATGAAACGATCAAACACAAATTAGTAATTTGTATACTTTTATATGAGGGAAGTTGAGGAATAGTCAAATCATCTTACACTATCCGTACAATTGGTTGACAAAAAAAGAAAGTTACACTATTTGTTGGTTAATAACAAAACCTGGTAAGGTTATTAACTCAATTAGAAAGGATATTGACTACTGTGTTAGAAATCTTAAGTTCGGGTCTATGGATCTTACGGACTTTGATTCCAAATCTCTTACTATTAAAAGATTATTTCATACTAAATCACTATGAGTATATGATTGTCACTATGAAAAATGTATCGAATTAAACTTCTCTATGCATTGACCAAAAATAGGACCTTGAGAATGGTGACATGGAAAATGTGGACGTCTCTATATGTTTTAAGCGTATTTTTGTTATAAACAATTGAATGTACAAAAATAAGTATACGTGTATATGTACGTATGCTTCATCAAAATAAAAATTAATAATTAACTAAAGATTTTTCATGACAGAAAAATCAAAACCTTTCAAGAGAAGACGTAAGACATGGAAGAGAAAGAGAGATTATCAGAGTTGCATGGCTTCCGCGCATCACACGCCGACTGCAAATATGTGACGCTTTGCAAGCTTAGTGAATAGTATATCAATTTACATCATTAAATTTTATATTATAAATTTTAAATAAAAAGCTATCGTGCAATTCTAGTAAACACTTCAACTACAAATTAAAAAAAAACGATGAGGATATTTATGCTTATATTCCACAGCTACAGAAATTGATGTATTGATATGTATTGGTAAGATCAAGAAAATGGTTATACTATAAAAATTGATCTTTCTTCAGTGTGAAGAAGAATCGGAAATTGCTACGGATTTTTGACCTCTGAGTGAACTGAAACGGCAGATAACTCAGAAGAACAGATGGCTCACGTGGATCCACGTGTCGCTCTTTAGGCCATGTTTAGCGTCAACGTGGAACATAGCTCCCACGTAAGTTGCCAGTCAACCTCTACTAAGGTGCATGTATGTAAATTATTTATATATTTTACGTTCTGTTATGTACATCTTATAATTTTTTTCTGTCACCATATACATCTATTATGAAGTTTATCATCAAAAATATTTATATTAATCAAAATTACTAAAAATTGAATTATCCTTATTTAATAAATATTTTTAGAACATTATTAGCAAAAACTTGAATTACTAATATAAAGAAAATTAAAGTTTAAAATACACAAGAAATTGACATTTGATAAATATTCTAGATTTTTACTAATATATATATAATTATATATATATATAGATTATTAAATATTAAAATAATTTGGATCTTGATATTTAATTTTTCAATGAAAATCAAAGTAAAACAAGTTAAAGGCTAATAAAGTCAATTAAATCTCTATAATATTATTTGAAAAGTCAATTTCCTACGTGTCGCGCTCACGTTAACTCTCACGATGGTTGATTACATAGATACCTTTAATGAATTGTTAGATTTTTAAAATTATTGTTTTTTTAAGTAATTTCTTTTTTACCTTTTTCCAAATAACATATATAATAAAAAAGAAATATTTCTAAAATTTTAAAACAATTTTAAAAACGAAATTATATGTATATAATATGACTTTCTTAAAAAGGAAAGTTCACAAAATATTAATATCTCCATTAATATATATTTTTAAGTAGCATAAAATATATTGTCAAAATAATAAAAATATATATGTTCATGAACATCCAAAAATTTATCAGTTACACTTTATTTCTAATACTTTTTATAAATCAACATATAATTTGATAAATATTATGAAAATATAATTTGATTTGACTTAACTAAAATAAAAGTAATTATACTTCAATTTTAATTTAAAAATATATTTAACTCAATATACTCACAAAAGAAATGACTCGACTAATCTAGTTTATATCCAAAATGAAACATCTAACTACAATAAGAATATATAATTTATTATAATAATATATTTAATTTATACATATAAATTAGAGGTTGACACAAAACATATTACAAAGAAAAAGAAAATATTAACCCATTACAATTTAATTCTTTTGTAGAATTTATATATATGCATGAGACTTCAAAATATTATCATTATATTCATTTATGTAATTTTGAATAAAACACTTCATTTTAAGCACAATATCTATTAAGTTATACATAATTTAACCATAGTATATATACATATCTAAGAATATATTTACCTATCTAAGAAAATAACCAACCGAAATAAAAATAAAAAAATTAATCAACGTTTTAATATATTTAGAATAATAAATATTATAGCTGAACTTGAAAAATAGATATTATCCAATATACCAAATTGATAATTAAACCGACTATTGATCCAAAAAATAATTAAATTAACAATAATATATCTAAAGTCCTATGTATAATTAGAATAATATAATATTTATTAATATAAATTATTATATAAATTGATTCAAAACTAAAATCAAATATTAATCAATTATTATAAAATTTTACTTTTATGAATATTCAACCCGTGCATGAGCATGGGAAAATCACCTAGTATATATATATATTAAGTTTATTTATATTATTCTAACCTCTACCTTTGTTTATAAATGTGGGTAGCTCATTAACTGTGGACGGTTTTAACTCAGAGACATTTGAGACTTGTCGTGGTGTGCAACAAAGACGTTACATTATTTGAGAGAGGGTAGATTGTAACATTCCGAATATAATATATGGAAATACTTAAGATGATTGCTTATATCACCAAAGTTGATTTACTTTTTTCGTCGTACAGCCGTTTAGAACTTTATGGTTAAATGTGTTTGGACTGAAGGAATGAAATTATGGATGACTTATTAGAAAGTGATTTGCGATTTTGTACAAGTGAGATCAATATACAAAAAATGTCAGATGGTAATTACAGAGTCAATAAACGATAATTTTGGACATTTTAGAATACTAAAAAATTGATCGTTAGAACGAGATATAACTCACATGCGGAAAGAATGAACATGGATAGTTTATTAACCGTGGATAGTCTATTAACCATGGACGGTCAAATCATTATAGTCTTAGTCTAGTGACTAAGAGAATGTCTTAAGGCACCTTGGCATCAAGGATTCCATCCTCTATGCCTCGTAAAATGAGGTTTTTCACTATTGGATCATTTCGTTGTGGTCAATGTCAACCAAAAATAAAACTTCAAGATTTGAAAACAGAAAAGAATAACTTAGGTGCTACACCAGCTATTTTTTAAGTTGAGTCTTTGTTTGTCTTCCTTCAGTTCAGACAAAGGTTATGGGCCTATGACTAATGGCATCAAGGATTCGACCCATCTATGGCTCTTAAAGTGACGATTTTTTCTACGGGGTTAAAGAGTTATCGGACCGGGTCATTGTGGTCAGTGTCGAAAAAAAATCTGAAAACAGAAAAGAATAACTTAGATGCTATACCAGCTATTTTTCAAGTTGAGGCTTTGTTTGCATTCCTTCAGAGTTCAGACAAAGGTTATGGGCTTATGACTAATGTTTCTTCATGTGTTATTAAATGCTACCAATTCGGCAAGAAAATTGACTGAATTGTTGTATAGTCTCTAGCCCAAATTGATTATTTGTCAGCAGGCCTCGCCCAGATGTGTATGTATTATCATTTAGTCAATAAGACGATCAATATTTTATGTTTTCAATGTTATCTTATTCTGGTTATTGTCGATGAAAAAGGGAAGTATCACTACCTTTACTGCCGAACAGATCTTTTTTGGCAAATAGCCAATACTAATGGGAAACGAGACGCGTGTTGCTCGTGTCGAGTGTCGACGAGCCTACACGAAAAGTTATGACGGCAAGTACGTGTCTACTAGATTCACAACTACATAGAACTTCACCGTACAAATTTTATCAGTGAATCCAATTTTATAAGTAGAACTACTTTAAGGTTTTCTGAATCCATTTTTTTCCCTCAATTGACTAATACATTCCATATCGATCTGAAAATTATAAAAGAATTTTGCTTTTCTTTTTGTTAGTTTTTTTTTTTTGCTTTATCTTTTTATTAGTTAAAATTTCAATTTTCGTGTGGATGGATTTACTTCACCATACTGGTTAAAAAATAATCAATAATCTACATATAAAGATGTACGGATATAGTAAAACAATTTTTTTGGCATTTCTTTATGAACAACTTGTCAATAATAGCAACAAAAATGTTGCGGAAGCACATGTTGAGGTCTTGGTCAGTGAAGAGAGAGGAACTGAGAACAAGACAAGAGAGAACAATGGAGATGTTCAATAGCGTAGGTCTTCATTAACTTCAATGAACATTTCTTAAATTTCACAATGTAATATATATAATAATATATTGGTGGCACGGTGAGTAGCTTAGATTTAAATGAGAAATTAAATAAACAGATAAAATAAATTTTTGAATGGTGTTTTGTTTAAACAATCGAAAATAGTGAAAGTATTCCCTTACATTATTTTGTTGGTTGAATTATCATATGTAATTCATCTGATGACGGATATGGAAACTATGATTCCTTCAAATTCCATCAAACTTCTAGATCCAATATCCCCACCCAAATAAAGTCTCTCAGTCAACTAAACTATTTTCATACATCTAAAGTATGTATTGACATTTATATAGCCAAAAGTCTTGAGTAAAATCTACACTATCTTCGAAATTTGTATATTCTTGATATTTAAAAAGTTAAGAAAATTATAACTGAAACTGTTCTGTAAACTGGAACTCTTATCCCGTAACCTCATAACCAATCTTATAACCATTTTAAAGTCATAAATTAGTTGAAAATTTAAAAGAAATTTAATAAGTAGAATACCTAATTAATATACAAAATAAATATCAGATAAAACCTTGTAAATAAAAACTAATTTTGATATGGTTGCGTTATAAATTTTGATAGTTTAAATGTTTTTATTCAGTTCAATAAATGTTTTATTGTTAAACCAGTTATCAGACTTGATCTGGTTATGTAACTAGTTGTGTTCATGGTTCGGTATGTTTTTAAACACAATGGTTTAATATCTTATTAAGAGACATGTATAGTTGTCTTCATTCGAGATATTTTCCTCGTCCAGAATATATCTATCTAGTCTTTGGTAATTAAATCCAGTGGCGAAGACTTAAAGCTTCTTCATGTATCTTCTAAACTCAAAATCTGAATATTCATCTTCTTTTCTTATTTTTTCTCTATTTTCACCAAAGAAAAGATGATCTTTCAGTAATATTGATGAGAAATTTCACATCAAAAATACAAGAATTAATCTACTAATATATAAAAAATTAAAATCAATATAATTATCATTAATTAGTTTTAAATTGGAAGTACATAATAAAACCCGAATCTAACAAGTAATTAGATGAAGAGTTTAGCACTCCTTTCCGCCTACAACGATGCCACTTGCAGCGAGAGAAAAACATACAACCAAATGTTTATTTCAGCCAAGGAAACAACAGTAAAATGCTAATTTCAAAACGAACTAAAATATATCTTGAATATTTATGTTTCGGCCAAAAACGTCAGATCCTCGGTAACTGTGGCTCCACGTATAATGTATCCATGCACTATTTTGTCTGTTTACATCCTCAAACCACGCATTTTCTTTCAACTTCCTCTAAACATATATACGTTAAAAGTAAATATATTAACAAATTAATTTGTAGATTTCGAACTGGTGCATAACTTGAAAACTATATAGTAACCCCCCCCCCCCCACGAAACCAAAACATAGAGAGAATATAATACAAAAAAAAACGAAGGAAAAAAAAGTTAAATGGAGAATCCTAGCTCATCAAACATAGAAAAACTTCAACAAGATTGTTATCATGAGTGGATGAGATTACAAGCCAAACGCATGACTGATCTTAAACAAGCGTTAACCAACGGTGAAAAAAACGATGACGAGCTTCGAGAATTGATAGAGACGGTGATTGGAGAGTTTAAAGACTATGCCGGTAAACGTTCGGAACAATCTCGTCGATATAGCTCAAACTATTTCGCTCCGACATGGAACACTTGTCTTGAAAACGCGCTTCTTTGGATGGGAGGTTGTCGTCCTTCTTCGTTTATACGACTCGTATACGCTATGTGTGGGTCTCAAACAGAGCTCCGTCTTGCTAACTTCCTCCGTAACGACAACCTCGACGGTAAGGTCATACGCTTGTCTATTTTGTTAGCAAAAAAAAAAAAGAAAAAAGGTTTCTCGGACTTCCAAGTGATATATTTTTAAGGGTTTCATGAATGTTATTGTTCTCTAAGTTTAGTGACTGGAGATACGTGAGTTGGATAGGGACAAGGAGATAAATAGTTCGAAATTTAGCTTGAGAAAGATCCAAAGATGGCTGTCTTGTTTTACAATTTTTTTTGAAAAATAGTCTCCTTCCTTGGATTCAACCGATTTGTTTTTTTTTTTTTGGGGGGGGCGGGGACAATTTAAGGAAATAAACTATTTTGTTAAAATCTAAAATTACATTTTACTTAATTTTTAAGAAATTATATTGTAATAAAATATAATATTATAATAAATGATAACTAAAACACAAGCTAAATCATAAATTATAGAAGACTATAAAATTTAAATATATAGTATTTTTTTGTAATATTCTTACATATAATCAATTAATAAGGTTAAAATGATAGTGATTTCTTTAATAGTTGTAAATATGTGATAAACTAAAAATTACTATCTAATATTTTACATAGATATTTATGAGATAGATATATAAGATTTTAAATAATAACTGTAAAAGTTAACAAGACTATTTGAAGGACATATAATTGCAAGAACTTAAAATATGAAACTCAAAATATATATTTATGGTTTAAAACAACTTTTTATAATAAAAAAATGCAGTATTTGAAATTTATATTTGAGGCTACAAAGTTAGTTATTTTTGAGCAATTCTAAAGTTTAAAGTTAAATGAGCTACGATTTCAGTATTTTATTTCTGCTTTTTACAAAAAATAAAAATTGGTCATCCGTAGGTCTAAGCATGGCTCTTGGTGAGACACCTGGCCTCGACGAAGCAGGCGAGTCGATGAGTGATCTAACGCCTGAGCAATTATACAAGATCAACGAGCTACATTTGAAAACGGTGCAAGAAGAGAACAAGCTGTCCAAGCAAGCGGCGACTTTACAAGAAGACACGGCGGATATGCCTATCGCCCTCGCGGCGTTTTACAAAGAAGAGATAGGAGAAGCTGACGTGGAGGTGGAGAGTGCGCTTGATAAGTACGAGGCTAATATGGCTCGTATATTAACTGAAGCGGATAAGCTGAGGTTAACCACGTTGACTCAAGTCGTTGAGATTTTGACGGTTGTTCAAGCGGTGGATTTTCTACTCGCCGGGAAGAAACTTCACTTGTCCATGCATGAGTGGGGTAGATTGAGAGAACATCGCCGCCTTGAATCTTGTGGTGGTGGTGGTGATCCCGGTGGAGAATTTTCCGGAGGGTAAACTTTGTAGGTCGGACGTTATCAAATAGTATGTAACAGAGGATAATAACGACAAGATTATACTAAGTCTTGGCATTATATACTATCTTTTAAAATCTGATGCAGTGCTGAAAATCCAACAAATTTCCCTATAAAATGTAGTTTTTATCAAATTGACCCCAGTAAAACAGTATGCTGCCTCTGCCACTGTTTCGACAATGGTAAATAGTAAATGGTAAGACTGATTGGCACTACTATATGATCGAGTTTGCTTTGCGAACGGGCCGTCGAAGACCACGACGAGAAGGCTATTAGAAGAAATTGTTAGTTGGGGTCTATGGAGAGGAGGCATTGCATCAGTTTTGGTAATGCATCAGTTTCTCAGAGACAAGAGTAAAGACCTAGCGCGTTATATTTAATTAGTATAATGCACACTCTATTGTCAACAACTTTAGATACATAAGGTATGAAAATACTATTTCATAATTTTTCTTAGAACTATCTCTGTACTAAGATAAATAGCATCTCTATGTAGCCAGGTGTTGCAAATGCACATACATCATCCCCCACTAATTATTTTATTACACACAAGTTTCATGTAACTAAGATATAAATTAGAAGTGCGAATTTCTATTATAAATACGCATATGATAAAAAAGAAATTTCAAAAAAGATAGTTTAATATATAAGACAAAAATACAAAACAATTTAAGCAACAATGATATTTATTGTTAACAAGACTAATGAGCATAAAGATGAGTTGCTCCATTTTGTAATAATTTCTCTTATACATAATTTTCTCACCCGAAACTCCTAATTTCATCTTCTTAATAGTTTTCCTCCTGCCGATCTTTATCAGTCATCACACATGAAAGAAATGGTATAAGCGAAGCCGTGTACATATATATCCTTCGATGTGAAACGAAAACGTTTTCAGTTACGGGTTTTGGCATAACTGATGGGACCCACGCGAGAATAAGGCTGAAAATAATCAATAGAAGGGAGGCGGTGGAGGAGAAGCGTATGATACTCCGGGAATCGGAGGTAGTGGTCCCTCGTAACCAGGAGGTGGCGGTGGTGGGCTATGGTGAATCACCGGCGGAGGTGGCGAAGATGGCGGCGGACTATAGTGGACGGTCGGCGGTGGCGTAGGTGAGTTGTAGTAAACAGGTGATGGCGGAGGAGTGTAATGCACGGTCGGAGGCGGTGGCGGTGAGTGTTCTATGCAAGGTGGAGGAGGAGAATATACTGGCGTTGGTGGAGGTGGTGGGGATGGATAGTGATAAACCGGTGGAGGTGGTGGTGAGTGCGGTGGTGGAGGTAACGAGTAATGTGGCGGCGGAGGGGGTGAGCTGTAGTAGTAAGGGACTGGCGGTGGGGGAGGAGGGTGAGTGCAGTAAATTGGAGATTGTGGTGGCTGTGATGGAGATGGCTGCGGTGGGGAGTATGTTGGCGGCGGAGGTGGTGATGACGGAGAATATGTTGGTGACGGGGGTGATGGAGGAGAGTAACCTGTTGACGGCGGAGGTGATGGAGGAGAGTAACCTGTTGACGGTGGCGGTGGTGATGGAGGAGAAAATCCTGTCGACGGTGGCGGTGGTGATGGAGGAGAGTAACCTGTCGACGGCGGTGGTGACGGAGGAGAGTAGCCTGTCGACGGCGGCGGTGACGGAGGAGAGTAGCCTGTCGATGGCGGTGGTGACGGAGGAGAATAACCTGTCGATGGTGGCGGTGATGGGGGAGAAAACCCTGTCGACGGCGGCGGCGATGGAGGAGAATAACCTGTCGACGGTGGTGGTGGTGGTGGTGGTGAAGGAGGAGAAAACCCGGTCGGCGGCGGTGATGGGGGAGAGTGACTTATAGATGGCGGCGATGATGGAGGAGGAGGAAATGGTACTACACCGGGAGGACTAGGAGAACCAGGCGGTGACTGAGAACCTGGTGACGGTGGAGTTGACGGAGGACTAGACGGCGAAATAGGACCAGGAACTGGAGAAATGGGAGACGGAGGCACAAAGATCGGAGGACTAGCTGGCGAAATAGACGGCGAAGGAGGAGAACCGCCAGGAGATGGTGTTGTCGGCGGTGACGGAACTACAACCGGAGGCCGAGGACTAGGACTAACAGAGCGCCCACATCCAAACGCCGCGCAATTCACCGGCGGCAGAGCCAAGAAAGCCGCACATTGCCCCGGAGATCTCTGAGCAGGTCTCGCCGGTAAACAGTTACGCTGATCATCAACCCCAGGCACGCCGATACAAACCGGCGGCTCTCCGGTGAAGAAATTGTAGCTGAAGTTAAAGTTCTCAAGTCTCGGCAACTGACAAATACTCGCCGGAATCTGGCCGGAGAATCTATTATGCGCCACATTTAACTGTTCCAACGAAACCATCCCGCCGGTACTCGCCGGCAAGGGCCCCACCAGCTCGTTGTAACTGAAGTCAAACACGGTGACGTTTTTCAACCGTCCGATCTCCGACGGCAAGCAAGAGTTAAACCCATTGTTCATGAAGATGATCTCTTCCAAGTTCCTCATGTCGCCTAAACTCGTCGGGATACACCCGTGGAACTGATTGTTCGCCACGACGATGACGGAAACCGGTGAATCTCCCAAGTTATCCGGTAACTCGAACCGGAACCGGTTATGGTTAATGAAAATCGCATCTAGATCTTTGCTGAAGAGCTCTCTCGGTACAGGTCCTTCAAACTCGTTAAACCGTAGATCCAGAAACTTCAACGACGGTAACTGAAGGATAACCGCGGGAAATTTACCGGCGAACCGGTTATTACTGAGATCAAGCTCGAAAAGAAGCTTTAGCCGGTTAAACCGATGAGGTACGGTTCCACAAAACCGGTTCGAGTTAACATGGAACAGAGCAAGATCCGTTAACAAACCAAGCTCTTGAGGCAAGTATCCAGCAATGTCAGCATGGTTGAGATCTATCCCGGCGACTGTACGGATCCTGGGATTGTCCAGCGCCGGAGCACAGTAAACTCCGGTGTAGCTGCATACATCGGAGCCGATCCAGTTGGTGGTGAAGTTGTTTGGATCAGAGAGAATGGCTTGTTTCCAAGCTTGAAGAGCTATGTAAGCACTTCGAAGACGTGGGTTCTCGAAGACGAGAGATGGGTCAACGACAACGTTCTCGCCACGGTCGCCGAAGTCGTCGCGGTAGTAGAGAAGCTGTCGCTGTCGGATCAGATGGACTTGTTTGTCTGAAAGATCGCTGTTGGAACTAGTGAGTGAATAAGAGTGAGAGAGACTAGTGAAAAACAAGAAGGTGAAATAAAGAAGGTAGATCTGAGCCATCTTCTTCGTCTTCATTGCTTCAAAGAACCCATACATTTGAGTGTGGAATGGCAGATAGTGAGAGATTTTGAAAGATGACGAAGGGTAAAATGATAACAAGAAGCTAGAAAACAACAGTGAAGAGAGAATTATTAGAGAGAGATAGAGAGAGACAGGTCTTTCACAGCTCAGCCCTACACGCATATACGCTCTCTGTACACTCTTTATTTTATTACACTTTGAAAAGCAAGATGAATTATTAAATGATGTGTCCATATGATTCATAACATTTTCATAAATGTAGTGACCTTTTTTGAACTGATCACTTGACTGATTATATACGTTACGAATAATATAAAATTGTTTAAATGATTTGAGTCAACACTAAGCTTGGATTAAAGACAAATTGCATTCCTCTAGGCACTTGGCAGTAACTTCTGATCATCAACAATTCCGATACAACTACTAATAGTTTAGTGATCAACGTCCATATTGTTAGAAAATTTGAATCTGAATGTTAAATCAAACCCGAAAAGAAAATAGTTTAATTCACCGTTTTGTTCGCTTGACATGGATTATCATTGCTGTTTTAAGCCCATCAAATTAAATGCCATTGGGCTTTGTATTTACGGTTATGTGTTGTGATAATGTCTGACAGTAAAGTTAAATGAATTAGGTGAAACTTGAAAGTCACGTGCATTCATTTTCTTTTGAGGTGGTGTCCCAAGTCATTACAAATTTTCAACAAGTAACTGTACTTATGTCGGAATAGACTTAAAACCACATGCCCCACAGTATATTCCTACAATCTAAAATTTGTTCTATATTCGACTTAGAGAATATAAAAAACAATAATATTATGTGTTTACCGTTGATGTTATTACTAGTTACACAATATTATGAATTTACAAAGTTTAGCATGTGCGTCTAGATGTTTATAGTTTCGGTTTTTTAGCAAAATGGTACTCCGTAAATTTAATCATCAAAGCTTTGCTCATGCATATGTAATCGTACATCTAAAATAAGATGTGGCATACTATAACATATACTAATTCACTTTAGGCTGGAAATGTATGCTTGTAACCGGGTATCAATTGCAAATGAACCATTTACATAAACATAAACTGTTCAAAATATCTGAAACAAATAACAGTTATGAATTGTACCCAAAAAAATAACAGTTATGAATTACATAGTTGGGGTTGATGTTGTGTTGTAGTTTGGGTGAATTGGCTTAAAACCCAGAAAAAATGATGAAATTAGTAAATTGTCTATCAACAAAAGCACCATGGCATGAGATTGAGGGTATGGATTTAATTAAAGAAAAAAGTGTGTATAGAGGACGCAATTTCACTTCTAGTTTTATTACTTTAAACCCAACAATAATAGATACAAGAAGAGATATTTTGTAAACTTTTTTTTGAAAGTGAATTTGTCAGGCAAGTATTTTTTTCTTTTTCTTTGCAAACTATTGTCAGGCAAGTATTAGTATATTCATCCGTCCTCTTTTGTTCGTTTCTGTATCTAAAAGTAAAATCCACAAACCAAAGAGAGAAAACATCCAATCTAGCAAAAGGTTAAACCACGTTTTCGCCAAAAAGCCTATCGTATCTTGATTCCACGTACCGCCGTACATGCATGTTGTTGTTTTTTTATATTTTTGCCATCAAATTCTACATATATAAACTGATCCAGAAAACTTAGTCTGAGCTAATTATAAAAGGATCGAAGTGTTTATATGGGAAAAATACAGGGTTACGTTACGTGCGAACTCCTTTTGTCTGCCTATTTAAATTTCGAGAGATAAAAATTAATGAAAAACTAGTAAACATACAAAGAACGGAAGTGACTCAAGTCGTCCAATTCCGAAGCCAAGTTGTTATAATTACAGTTTTTAACGTAACGCACAATATATAGTTAGAAGTATATATATGCATCGATCCAATGTATGTAAGAGTAATAACATTTCACAAAACTCACGAATATTAGTGTAACCAACAACTAAAGAGAGATGGCGAGTACTACTACTTTGAGTTGTGTGATTGAGAAAATTATAAATCTTATAATATGTGAAGGATTCAGAAATATTTTTTGAAGGATTCATGTAAACTCAAGAAGGAACTATAAACTCTTGATGATTGATATGAAAGCTTTACATGTGTTTATATACAAAGACGAGAAGTCATATACCTAAACGATAATGACAAACTAATATGTAAATATTATAGGATACTGTCAACTTTCCTAACAATTCAGAAACATTTCCTTATCATCCATATAATTATAGTCAATATGTAATACATTTTTGGTCAGTATATATGAATGATTATGGTCAGTACATAATACTTTTTTGGTAAGTATAGGTATGGTTCAAAACCATTTCCTTGTCATCCATATACGTTATGGTTAGTACGTCCAGTATATAAAAATGACTATGTAAATGTATTGAATGACTAAAATGATATCCTACTGCCTATATTTTTCTAATGAAAAATATATTTATAACTATGGTCAGTTATCAATGTACGACCATCAAAAAATATTATGAATCATTTAGAAAAATATTCTTAAACCGTCAGAAATAAATTTTAAAACTTTCAGAAACATTTTGAGAATCAACGAAACTTTAAAAAATATTTTAAACACATTAATTCTAAACCATTAATAAATAAATTATAACCCTTCGGAAATTGTTTCTGACCTTTTCACAAAAAGTTTCTGAACGAACCCTTTATAAATCAATTCGGAACCTTTCAAAAAATATTTTTGAAAATATTTTACGTCCTTCATAAAATGTTTCTAAATACTTCAGAAAATGATTCCTCTTTTCAAAGACAGAACCATCTTGAGAATTCATTTTTGAAACTTTTCATAAACAGTATTGTAGTTGTTTCAAAAATATTTTGAACTCTTGAAAAAAATATTATTAAACCGTCATGTATTAATTTTGAACCCATCAAAAATGTTTATTAATGACCATTTATAATAGTAATTTGCAATGTAAATTTTAACATATAACACCCACATATTATGATACAAGACAATTCCAAATAGAAATCAAGAAGAGTGTTCAGAAAAAAATATTGTAGTCGTTTAAGAATATATCGATTCCTTTAGAGAAATATTTTGATCCTTTCCCAAAAATATTATTAAACCGCCAGAAATCAATTTTAAATCCTTTATAAAAATATTTTGAACTCTTCTGAAATTAATTTCGAACCCTTCATAAAATGTTTCTGAGCCCTTCATAAAATATTTTTGAACCCTTCAGAATATTCTGAAGAAACATATTTTTAGCTCTTCACAAATCAATTCTAAATAATTCAGAAAACAATTCTAAGTTTTTCATAACACAATTTGAACTCATCAGAAAATGTTTTTGAACCCTTGATAAGAAAAAAAAAACACAAGGGTATGTACATTAGATATATACGAATCGGTTTAAAAGGGAGATATTATTCAAACAAATCAAAGACTAGTGGAAAGTTGTATGTTGTGGAAATTAAGTGAGTGGCTGGTGTTGAGTCTTTGTAACATTCGAATATGCCTTCTTTAGAGTCTGTATCCATAGTAAGAAAACAAACACAAGGCTATGTACATTAGATATATACGAATCGGTTTAAAAGGGAGATATTATTCAAACAAATCAAAGACTAATAATGTTCATAAGATGAACCATGTACATCTCCACAACGATGTTAATAGAATAACGTGGCAACTACATCAACTTCTTCCCAACACGTCAGCGAGTGCACAAGGACTAACTTGGTTTGATGACATTTCTTATATATTATTTGTAAAGTGATTTTGACATGATGATATATTTATTAATAATCATGACATAGCTTAGAGTTAATTGTGACATGTACGTTTATATTTAATATAAATATATATTTTGGTAGGTTTCTAGAATATGTTAATAACTCATAAATTGTCAATAACATAACTAATATAATAATATAATTAGAAATATAATAATATTTACAAATTTTAAAATATTTTTTAAGTCTATTTTTTATAAATATATAATCATTATTAATTTGTTTTCAAACTAAATTTAATGCCGTTTTTTTAAAAAAACTATAATTTTCTAATTCAAATATTGTTAATTTTTCTTTATAACATCTATAAATTTTAGAAATATGATTTAATTTTATATTTTTGATAATTATATACCTAACAAAATTTTCTCTTAATTGTATAAAATCTGATTTAACAAATTTTAACTAGAAGAAAAAGATAAAAAATATTTCCAAAATCCTAATTTTAAATGTGTACATATATACTGTTAAATATAAATTTAAATAGATTTTTTAAGTTTATCTTAATTTTTATATATAATTAATGTAATAATATAATAAAATAATACATATAACTGAATTTTATTTCGTACATGGTGCAGAAAAACACTTAGTACAGTATAACCTCTTTAAATTAATAATCTATAAATTAATATCTCTATAAATTAATATAATTTCATAGTCCCAAATTGATTTTTTGGTTCAATTAATATCTCGATAAATTAATAATCTCTATAAATTAATAAAAAATTTAGTTTTGGTGTAGTTCCAACATTATTAATTTATAGAGGTTTCACTGTACTTTATATTTCTATTCCTTTTTTTTGGTCAACAAGTCAACATTTATTGTACATTAATGTATAAAATAAATTATACTGTAAATAATAAGGCTTAAAATACAATATTAATGAGTTCTTAATAGATGTAATAAAAGTTCCTAATTATGTATTTTTATTGGTCTTGCAGAGATGCTGTATCAAACGTATTATGATTTCAAATTTCTCCTGTATATACTTTTCCTTGTCTTTACAAACTTTTTCTTTTATTAAAAATACATTGTCCAGTTATTTATAATGATATAAACCACTATTATTTTATGCAATTTAAAAGATTTTAAATATATAAAAACGTAAAAGACATTTTCAGAGGGTCGTAATAGGAGCATGTGGTTGGTTCTGATAAATTGGGTCACAGACTCACAGACACCAACTTGGAAGAACCATTATTTCCATGAAGAAAAAGACAAGGGAGATTTGAACTTCTGGCTTTCTAAATCTAGATTAAAACTTCTGTTTCTTTTTCCTCCATCAAGTTATTATGTTCATCATTTACATATACATAATCATCGCTAATATCACGACACCTAAACAATAGAGGAAAAAGAATAAAACAGATTAGACTGATTATCAATAATCACATTCAAACAAAAACTCCAAAAGAAATTGCATCATTCAAATCAGCATCACAAACATATATGCTTTACACTCACATGTAGAATCAAGCAAAAAACAAAACTTATTCGTATCTGAGATTGTCAAATCAAATCATACAGATACAATAATTTTCTATAAAAAGCCAAGCCGTGACAAATTGCTTTCATCATCTCAAAACCAACTTGCTTTAGCACAATGACAAAAACACTTCACATGGTTCCTATCAATTTCTTCACCCACAAATAGTTAAAACTCCTGATACTCACTATCTGAATTTTCCACCACTCAAGTCTTCAAGAATCAAGAAAGAAAACAAGAACAAGTACATTCTTCTCTTCTTGTTTCATCACCCATTTGAAGCAAATAAAAGACAACCCCCAAAACAGAAAAAATATTTTACACATAGAAACCATTATCAGATAACAAAAAGAGGATGCTCAGAAAGAAGAAAACAAGTTTCTTTATTTGATATGATTGTTTTATACATATTCAAAGATCTGATGCGAAACTGTTTACAAACTTCTCTCCCACACACACACACACAAGAACACAAAAACTGCTAAAAGGTTAGTAAAACCATAACTCAAAGTCCTGTCTCTAACGATCTCTCCAGCTGAATAAAAACATTACATGTATTGTTACATACTTCGGTTCTACATTTCACCAACCCTAAGCAGCTTTCTTCATCATCAACTCAGCTAACAAAAACCCTCATGATCTCTTTGGCCTTTCATCTTCTACTCAGTGTCAGAAGGCAAGAAACAAACCGGTGGAGAATTCACAATCGCAGACGCAGTTTCACCAACCGCTGAAGCCACCACAGGCTCATCTACTACATCATCAGCAGTCAAGTTCTGCAGCTTCGGTTTCAACTCCTTATTACAAAACTCTTCATACTCAGTTCTATCTCCTCCTTTCTTCTTAACTTCCACAACAACCAAAGAAGGCGTCAACTCAAATATCTCAGCAGCAATAGTCAAAGGACCTTTAACTCCTTGCCTCGAACCTTCAAGACTCACCCTACAATCCTTCTTCCTCACCGTGAAGCTCACAACTTTAGCAATCTCTTCCAACTTCGATATAATCTTCGAAACAGGAGCTCCCGAGACAAACCTAGACCCTTCCCCATCATCATCAAACAAGCCAGACAAATCAAACCCTTGCGAGAACGATATAATATCAAAAGCATTCAAACTCGCAGGCCTAGGCAACGCTCCAACTCTCCTCGCAGGCTTAAAATACTCAACATCAGATTCAGAAACCGTACTAGACCGATCAGACTCAACAGAGCCAGTCTCCAAGCCCTCCTCATCAACATCAACATCATCATCATCAACGTTACAAAGCTTATCATCCTCCACATAGAACTTAACATGTTTAAACCCTTTCTTAAACCAAGAATTCTCCATAATCTCAGGGAAAGTAAACCGTTTCTCCGGATTCGTCTCAAGGAGACGTAAACACAACCTAGTAAGCTCCGGAGAGAACCATCTCGGACACCTAAACTCTCCTTTATAAATCTTCTTATACATAGCCATAACATTCCTATCATGAAACGGGAGGTAACCCGCCATCAACACAAACAACACCACACCACAAGACCATATATCAACCTTAGCCGCATCATACCCCTTCCTCGCCAAAACCTCTGGCGCCACGTAAGCAGGGGTCCCACAGAAAGTGTGGAAAAGCCCATCTTGTCGAATCTGATCCGACACCGCGCTGAGACCAAAGTCCGAGACTTTAAGGTTCCCATTCTCATCCAAAAGAAGATTCTCCGGCTTGATGTCACGGTGGTAGACGCCGCGGGCGTGGCAGAACGTGACGGCGGAGATAAGCTGCTGGAAGTATTTGCGTGCGACCTCTTCTTTGAGACGTCCTTTAGCTACTTTGTTGAAAAGCTCTCCTCCTCTAACGTACTCCATGACGAAGTAGATCTTGGCCTTGGTGGCCATGACCTCGAAGAGCTGGACGATGTTTGGGTGACGGACGCGGCGGAGGATGGAGATCTCGCGTTTGATGTGTGCGATGAGACCGCCTTTGAGGATCTTCTCCTTGTCGATGACTTTGATGGCGACGCTTTCCCCTGTTTTGACGTTGCGTGCGAGGTAGACTTTGGCGAAGGTTCCGTGGCCGAGGAGTTTGCCCATTTCGTAACGGCCGAGGATTAGGGGTTGTGGGCTTGTTCTGTCTTTGGGGATAGATGTTTCTTTTCTTAGTTCCGCCATGGTGGGGTGGAGAAAGTTTGAACCTTTATTTGATGGGTTCTGTCTTAAAAATCTCGACTTTACGAAATTGGAGAAACCGAGAATCTGGGCGAGTTTGGACTCGCTTGGATTTCGAGTTCCTCACCTGTTGATTCGTTTTCGAGATGTAAGAAGAAGAAGAAAACAGAGAGGAAGATGTTCTTTTTTTTTTCTCTCTCTGTTTTTAGGGGTTCACTAGAAATAGCAATTGCTCTGTTTCCATCGGTTACCGTATATATTAGGGAATATGCTTATGACTTGTGAGTGTTTCCCATAAAGACAAAAAAATAAAATAAATTAAAAAAGAGTAAAGTAAAGTTTTTTTTATTGTTGTTGACAAAAAAAAGTTTTTTTTTGTTATAAGTCTTTGCCTACTTGCGACATCGACTTGTATCTATATAAGCTTTGTGATTAATTTTTTGAATTTAGTTTTGGGTTTATGCATGTTATTAATGATTCTTTAAAATGTACTGTATCGTTTAGATTTTAATGCGTTTACAATAATTACTAATCATTTCCCAAAAAGAAATGATTTGTTTCAGTTTAGAGAAAAAGCAAAGACTAGAACATTTACATGTTAAAAAAATCTCAACTTGCTATTCTAAATTATTTTATTTGAAAACCGACGAATATAATGTTGGAAATTTTAGACGCGATGAGCATTTTCGAGTAAGTGTAAGAGCATCATTCTCGTGAAGGCAAACCAGTTTTAAATTATGCCAGTGTTTAATTATTACAACCTGTATTTATTTTCTTATCTTAATTCTTTTGTTTATAATTTTTGTGATATTATTTGCTGCACTTATTCATTATTTCATTATGTTGTATCATGCTTCTTCACCAGAATATTACCCCCACTTGTTTGCTACATATACTTCAAAACGTAAACTAAGCCATTATCATTGTTAGAAAAATATTATTTTCCGAACAACAAACAAAAATGTCAATATCATAGCTATGTTTCGCTACTAATATTCATTTTTAGAACCACTAATATCAAACAATCACGCACCCAAAATTGTTGAGTGATGAAATAGAACTGTCAAAATGTATCAAAAAAAAAGAACTGTCAAAATACATGAATTGAAGTTGAACAATTAAATAATTCAAGGGGTACATCTATTCTTTTCCTTTAAAATTGCTTTGTTTTAATTAATTTTAAAATTATAGTCTACATCAAAAGGCTTTTAAAGTGATTGCTAAATCTAAATCGCAATATAATTGATTATTTCTAGGCTTTGGACATTTGGGTTTAAGCAGTACTAGAGATTGACCCGCACGGATGTGAGTGTTAATTTTTACTTTTTTATAAATTAATATTTTTTCTTACATAATTAGTATTAGATATCTTATATGTATCATAATATAATTAATTATATAAATATTTAAATATTTTTATGTTTCTATACATCAGAATCGAATCCGGATCAAGTACAGTAATATGGTTAGTTTTAGTTATTTGATTATCTTAGGTTAAATTTAGTTTGAATTCAAAATATCCTAACTGAATCGGTTAATATTGTTATTTTTTGGTACAAATATCCAAATCGGCCTCAAATTCTTTAGATTTTGGATATTTGTAGGTTTCTAATTATTAAAACTGAATTCTTCTTGACTTGTGAAGACCCGATTTGAAATATTTTTATAAATTGATTTGTTTTCTTTCATGATTAGTATTAGATATTTTATATGTATCATAATATAATTAATTTTATGAATATTTGAATATTTTTAGGTTTATATACCTTAGAATCAAACCTGAATCAAATATGGTAATATGGTTAGTTTTAGTTATTTGGTTATTTTAAGGTTAAGTTTACAAAATACACAAACTAAATCGGTTAATATTGTTACGTTTGGTACAAATATCTGGACATGCCTCAGATACATTAGTTTTTGGATATTTATAGGTTTCTGTATATCAAAACTGAATTCTTCTCGACTTGTGAAAACCGATTTGAAATATCGACATGAAAAATTATAATAATGAATGAATTCTAGTTTCAGAACTCAAAGAAACCTAATATCCAAAATAAATAACTCGTAGCTGAACATGTATTCGAATGTCTAAGTCTAACTGATTATGTAAACAAATAAAAAAAATTGTTAACCATTTTAATTCTTGTCACATATAGAGTCATTTCATTCAAATATGTCAAATTATTATAGTTAATATGTAAAATAAACGTTGTCGAAATATTATAGTAAATATAATTAATGAAACAGTTATAAAGTGAAAATGAATGTAAAATAAAAAATAAAAAATTTAAAAAATACGTTTTTTTTTGTAATTCTGTAGTAAATGATACAATTTATTTAGTAAAGATAATAAATGAAATTGTTCGAATTAATTAAAATAGAAAGAAAATCTGTAAAAAATCACTTAAATTAAGCAAGTGTTATTGTTTTACTGCTATCCATGTTTTCAAACACATATTCATTTAGTCTACTATTCTAGTTTCCAAACAACTTCATTGTGTACTTCAACTTTAATAATATAGACTAGATTTGGACCCGCGCTTAAAAAGCGCGGGTTTATTTTCAAATTAAATAAATTATTTTAGTTCAACTTTTTTATAAAAGGATATATAGGTTTGAGAATATTTAACTGGAACCACGAACCGAACCTGAAAAAAGAATTGAACTGAATTTTATACATAATTGAGGAGGAGATCATATATCTTTGGAATCAAAAAATTGAAACCGATTTGAGAACAAAATGGGTACCTAAATTGTTAATACGAATATTAATTATATTTAACAGCTTTCAAAGATTAATGAACACAACTACAGCTTAAAATAATTTACTTAGAAATAAATAATTTTTTTATTTCTTATACATCTTTACTTTCGGAGCAAATAATGCTCATTGTTTCTCTAGCCACACGTTAGTGAACTAACATTCAGAATGACAAAAGATCAAAAATATGTTGCATTACACATATTATAGTTATAATCAAACCTTTACCTAAGTTTCAGCTTTCATTACTTTAAGACCTTTCTTGAATTTATTAGTCGTAGCTTTGATATCTAACGTCTTCAAAAGATCAGGTTGATCACCACTCACAAAGTATTCCTATGTTGCGCTCAGTTTTTTGGTTCCGATTTAACTTTCATTTGTTTTAGTACTTTTCTTAAATCTATACAACATAGCTTGTGCATACATTTTCTCAAAACCTCAGGTTGATTTCTTACGTCAAGATTCCAAAGGGTCTTTATTGAATACTCTAACTGTTCCACCTCATGTTCTATTTCGTGCAAAGAATGGCGTGTAGAACTATCCTCTGTCACAACAACACATGTCTGGTTATCTTCCAACACCGGTTAAAACCTGATCCTAGAGAGGCTTCTTTTCTCTCGTTCGTTTTAGGTAGACACAGCGAAAGATTCAGAGCAAGCTCTTTTTTTTCCTACTTTAGAAACATATGAAACCAATGATTTTTGATGCTTCTCCATGTGGTGTAACTGATATTTTAGTTTCTTATCTTGTTGCTCAAACAGTTCTTGTTCCTCCTCTTGTTTATGTAACTCTTCAAGCAAACCCCCCCCCCTGTCCCTCTGTTAGACTATTCATTCTCTGTCACTCAACAGGTTTGCTTCTATGAATGTTCTTCGAAAGATGAGTTCCCCCTCCAACGAATCATCATTCGCTAACTCCCATTGCTGACCAGGATCAGTTTTTCTAAAACTCTGCAAATATAAGTCCAACTAAACTTAAACCACAAGGAAGATAGATCACCTAAATCACAGGAAAAAAAAAGTCAATACTTCCAAATTTGTATTAAGAAACAATTTTTTTTTTTAAAAAAAAAACTAAATTTAAGTAAACGGGAGGAAATTCCTCAAATATATTAAAATAGAATACGATGATCTTCTGGTGATTTGTAAAGGCAAATCAATATGATTGATTCAGGCCGGGCTTTAGGTTAGAAACTTTCACGGGATTTTTCGTGAAAATGATTAAACTTATTTCTTAATGATTTGGATTTTTGATGTGCATCTTGATCTCTTCAAAGCATGAACTTTTGATTTCTTATGATTATGTTTTGCTTTTCTTTTTACTCATAAGTCGTATAATCTGAAAAGAACTTTATTGCTCGTGACATTAGGTATCAAAAAAACAAATGACTTTGATAAGCTGTTTAGGTTAATAAAATGGGTCTTGTATAACGTTATGGAATCTCGTTGGTATGGCACAATGATATATTCGAGTAATAAATGAGTTTAGTTAAATTATTTATTGTATAGTTAGAGAAAACATAGGGTATGGCCAAAAAAATTAATTACTTAATGAAAGGGTCCAAACAACTTGTATAAGTAGATTTTTTTAGACTCCTTCTCTTTTAATAGTATTGATATCATGTTTATAGATTTTTAGATCAATTCTTACCTTTTCTAATATTTTATAAGTACGACCCGAATTTAGATAACTTACATTTCACATTTGGTTTTAATTTGTAATACATCCTAAAATACATAAGTGACTATATATCAATGGGATTAGGTCATACTTCTATTTTTAATTATTCCTTTTAAGTTCAGTTAATAACACTTCAGATTTTAGATATGTATTGTAATACATTAAGAAAATTATTTTTAATTTTTTACATTTTGTATCGGATTCATAACAGTGTTCTGTTTAAATTCATATCAAATTTTGGACTCCAAATTATATGTCAGGTCTAGTATCACAATTTACTAATCATTTTAGTTGTTAGACCATCTACAAAGAGGATGTTGAAATATATTTTTAACATTTGAAAGTACTGCAATGAAGATGTTGATAAATTGAGTTTATCTATATTGTTTCAACATCTAGTGTAATGTTTCAATAGTTGAAATTTTTTTTTTTGCCCAGCATTGCCATGTGGCAAATTCTGATTGGATGTATAGATGGTTTCTAATTTTTATCTTCATTCAATAATTTGAACAGATTTTATATAATAAAACTTTTTAATAAAAATTATATCAAAATTTAATATTTTTATTTATAAATAGAGACCACAAAATATATACAAAACGTCATTTTCCCTTTATAATCAACTATTTTAATGTTTTAAACATTTTTGTTAGATGATAATAATCCTCCTAACATTCAAAACCTTTATAATTTTCCATTTAATTTTGAAAATCTCAATAATTATCAATTTGAAAACCAAATTTCATTCTTAAATTTATTTCTTATTGATCTTGGAATTATTTATAAAATAAA